CGATTGCGACCATATTTTGGCGATCAGACGAAGCCTTGGGGCACTTTTGACGCGCCCCGTCCTTTAAGGGACGATTAAGGGATGAGGATAGGAGCCACAGGTCTGGAACCTTCGACTGAGGTTAGATATTGACCTGAGGAATCGATTGCGACCATTATTTGGCGATCAGACGAAGCCTTGGGGCACTTTTGACGCGCCCCGTCCTTTAAGGGACGATTAAGGGAGAGGGATAAGAGCCACAGGTCTGGATCCTTGGACTGAGGTTAGATATTGACCCGAGGAATCGATTGCGACCATTATTTGGCGATCAGACGAAGCCTTGGGCACTTTTGACGCGCCCCGTCCTTTAAGGGACGATTAAGGGATAGGGATAGGAGCCACAGGTCTGGAACCTTGGACTGAGGTTAGATATTGACCCGAGGAATCGATTGCGACCATTATTTTGGCGATCAGACGAAGCCTTGGGCACTTTTGACGCGCCCCGTCCTTTAAGGACGATTAAGGGATGAGGGATAGGAGCCACAGGTCTGGAACCTTGGACTGAGGTTAGATATTGACCCGAGGAATCGATTGCGACCATTATTTTGGCGATCAGACGAAGCCTTGGGGCACTTTTGACGCGCCCCGTCCTTTAAGGGACGATTAAGGGATGAGGGATAGGAGCCACAGGTCTGGAACCTTGGACTGAGGTTAGATATTGACCCGAGGAATCGATTGCGACCATTATTTTGGCGATCAGACGAAGCCTTGGGGCACTTTTGACGCGCCCCGTCCTTTAAGGGACGAGTAAGGGATGAGGGATAGGAGCCACAGGTCTGGAACCTTGGACTGAGGTTAGATATTGACCCGAGGAATCGATTGCGACCATTATTTTGGCGATCAGACGAAGCCTTGGGGCACTTTTGACGCGCCCCGTCCTTTAAGGGACGATTAAGGGATGAGGGATAGGAGCCACAGGTCTGGAACCTTCGACTGAGGTTAGATATTGACCCGAGGAATCGATTGCGACCATTATTTTGGCGATCAGACGAAGCCTTGGGGCACTTTTGACGCGCCCCGTCCTTTAAGGGACGATTAAGGGATGAGGGATAAGAGCCACAGGTCTGGAACCTTCGACTGAGGTTAGATATTGACCCGAGGAATCGATTGCGACCATTATTTTGGCGATCAGACGAAGCCTTGGGGCACTTTTGACGCGCCCCGTCCTTTAAGGGACGATTAAGGGATGAGGGATAGGAGCCACAGGTCTGGAACCTTGGACTGAGGTTAGATATTGACCCGAGGAATCGATTGCGACCATTATTTTGGCGATCAGACGAAGCCTTGGGGCACTTTTGACGCGCCCCGTCCTTTAAGGGACGATTAAGGGATGAGGGATAGGAGCCACAGGTCTGGAACCTTGGACTGAGGTTAGATATTGACCCGAGGAATCGATTGCGACCATTATTTTGGCGATCAGACGAAGCCTTGGGGCACTTTTGACGCGCCCCGTCCTTTAAGGGACGATTAAGGGATGAGGGATAAGAGCCACAGGTCTGGAACCTTGGACTGAGGTTAGATATTGACCCGAGGAATCGATTGCGACCATTATTTTGGCGATCAGACGAAGCCTTGGGGCACTTTTGACGCGCCCCGTCCTTTAAGGGACGATTAAGGGATGAGTGATAGGAGCCACAGGTCTGGAACCTTGGACTGAGGTTAGATATTGACCCGAGGAATCGATTGCGACCATTATTTTGGCGATCAGACGAAGCCTTGGGGCACTTTTGACGCGCCCCGTCCTTTAAGGGACGATTAAGGGATGAGGGATAGGAGCCACAGGTCTGGAACCTTGGACTGAGGTTAGATATTGACCCGAGGAATCGATTGCGACCATTATTTTGGCGATCAGACGAAGCCTTGGGGCACTTTTGACGCGCCCCGTCCTTTAAGGGACGATTAAGGGATGAAGGAAGGGAGCTAGGGCAAAATAAATGTCATATTCGTGTTCCCCGTCCCCCAATTGACCTGATGGAAGTTTTTGAAGCGATTCTGAATCCGACGCTGTATTCGTTGCTGTTGCTGACGCTAACTTCACGGACATTTCACGACCATGATACATGCATTTCTTAAATTGAACTTTTTGAGCCAAACACGTACACATATGATAAAATGAATGTCACCATCGTGTTCTACGCCCCAAATTACCCATTAAACATGTGTCACAGGCTGCGAATATCAGTTTTGATTTTCGGGGATATGTGCCTACCCGGTTGACCTGACCTTGACCCTGACCTATGCTTGACTGACCCTTACATGGAGCTGACACTCTTGTAGGCCTTATATGATGGATTGTGCACCGTTTTGACAGAGTTTATGATGAGAGGCGCCCATTGCGAAGTCCTGAAGTCCATGTTACTGAAAGCCCGATTTCAGGTGTTTGACCTGACCTTGACCCGACCTGTGACCTCAAAATTCAACTTTTAAGTACTCATCTGAAGCGTCTCGTCGCGTTCTTTCGTTTGCCGCCTCGTGCGTTTCGCTGCGCTTATTGGTTCTCGATTTATCGGCTGGTTCTCGATTTATCGCCACCCCCAGCAAACGGTGGGTGGCGAAATACCCCAGCAACTGCCGGGTTAAAGCATGGTTAAGCAAAACTGTAGTTCCTGAACAATTCGCGATAGTTGTCCCACAAAACTCTAATAGTTCTGGTTAGTGGTTACCCGCGACAGCATTGTCCCCGAAATACGTGAGAGGCTGGGCGATTCATATTTTCGAGACACGTCAAACGATACACAAATTTGACCGTGACCGCTGCTCGATTATTGTGTATATTTTTTGGCGCGCCGTTTTCCCATTTGGAAATCGAACTATTTTTTTTCTGTCAGTACACCTGTGTCAGCCGCTGGGAAGACTCTGGATACGTCTGTTCGACCGAAAGCCCCGCCGAAAATGGCGCCCCTGGACACCACAGTGCGGCACCTCTCTTCTGCCGTCCCTGCCGTCCCTGGAAAAGGTCAGTCGAGCATTTGTGGAGCTTTTTAAACAGCCTATGGCCTATTCAAGTCACTGGGTTATAGTTAATAACTTGTGTGCGGGATTCATGTCACGTCGATGGCTTATGTGGTTGGTGCTGTTACTCTACGTATCTCCGTTTGTATGGTATTACAGATAAACCTCCTGTCCAAAGGAAGAAGGTCGATAAATCGGCCACCGTCAGAACGAAGCCGCTGCGAGTTGACCCTCCAGCAAAGACGCAGGTTAGCGAATAATAGAGCGGTGTTCACTAAATTCAACGAGCACCTTATTATGACAGCACTGATGGACTGTAGATCATTAACGCAACGCTTCAAATGATATGTGATCAGTTTTCTCGTTTACAATTTGTGTTTCTCGTGTTTCTTTTTGATGACATATGATGGCTTCTTATACAATTTGGTTTTACACGTTTCATCCCATGGAAAATCGGCTGATTATTATCACGTTTATCGTGATGAATGCATTAAAAGATTGCTTAGGTATGTATACATGTGGATTGTGCCATTGTTTGTTTTACTTATTTATTGTACATTTTTTTCTTATACGTTCCTACCTACTGTTGAATTGGAAGACAAACAAATGACTGTAGAACCGAATTTTGTAGAACCGCCGTATGTGAAGCGCATTTGATATTTTTTCAATGGAGACCACTTTGCTTAATTGCGCTAATGAAGGGATGACTTGGCGATACCCATTGACTCTGTGTCATTGTGGCCCATCACCAGAAGGGAGCGGAGAAGGAGTGCGTATCCGAGCACCAGCTGCTCTACAACCAGTACCTGCAGTGGACCTACCTGGGACGAATGGCGGAGGCCTCTATGCGCCGGGAGCAGCCGCAGCTCGCGGTAAGTGGTCGGCTTGAGCTGCAGCAGCTGCACTGACTGTCCGGGGCCCTCAATGTGAACTCTTTGCGGTCGGTGCATCGTCCACTTGTCGCTCGGGCCGTTGTATTTGCCAACTATCGGTGTATCGTCTCCCATGTGTCGTTTTCCCCGTTCGATGTGCGGAATATCTGTGTATCGTCACCAATGTGTCGTTTGCGCCGCTCGGGCCGTGCTGACGTGCGGTTCTTTCGGCAGCACCAGGCGCAGCAGCTGGCGGGCCTGGTGGACACGGCTCGGAACCACTGCGCAGACCTGGAGCGCAAGAGGCAGGCGGTGACGCTGTACTGCGAGATGGCGCAGCTGGAGCGACAGCTGGACACAATCCTGGCCGACATCAACGGTAAGATACACGGCGGACGGTAGCAAGATTTCTTTTCTACCCGACTGTAGGACTAATTCCTGATATTAGGACACGCTCCTGAACGCTGTCAACGATAGGGCATGCGGTGCCCGTTTCACACTGCACCGGCGCGGCATGCAGCTGTTTGGACGGTAGGTGACGTTTTAGCATAAAGTTGCCCGAGCTGATGTGTTAGAAGGGTGCGTTTCGAATCACCGTTAAATAACCGTACATATTGACATCCTACTATGTAAATAGTTTGAGGTAATGATACCGATCTGATTGACCTTTACAAGGCGGAACTTGGGCACTGACACGAAAACCAGCGTAGATGGTCTGCTTGCGCTGTGTGGTCTGTTTAACTATTCTGCTGACAACCTGTTATCCCTCTCTCAGAGTCGGCGGACACGGTGCGTGCCGACCTCAGCCGGCTGACCACTACACTGGACGCTACCCGCAACAGGCTCCAGCTGAGTGGCTGTAACCTGCCTGGCGACTGTGTGGGTAAGTCCGGATCCGCCGCTCAGGTTCCGTGTAATACACGCTGGCTGCTCTGAGTACAGGGCTTCTTAGATGATTGTATGTGTTGGGATGGCGAGTGGGTATCCGCTATCGGTGGAGAGTGGCAGACGCAGTGTCCGAATGTCATTTTGTAGTGAGTATACGAGTATGTCACTCCCATTGAAAGCTGACTGTGTGTTTGGGCAGTGAATGGGCAACCAATGTTGGTAGATAGTAATAGAATGAGATACCGATGTGTGTCCTTGTATTCAATGGATGCCTACTAAATACCGGTGAACAGTGCCACTGACTGCCCGGTCCGTCCGCCAGGGGAGCTGGAGGCGGCCGCCGAGCGGTGCCGGGAGGCGCTGTCGGCGCTGGACGCCTCCGTCTCGCCGCACGCCAATCTGCTGCAGCACACGGCCGAGGCGGTGGAGTCGCTGCAGCGCGCCCTCCGCGAGAGCGGCCGCACCATGGCCAGGTGAGCCGACTAGCTACCGGACACGGCAATATGCTGGATTGCTGGCATATTTCGACCACTTAAAGATGATTTGACAAAACATTTAACCCTTGTGCGGAATGTGGCGAGTTTTTCTCGTGAAACTGAGTTGGTAAAGCTTTCTTACGGTGTGCCGAAAATCACGGACATGTGGCTCACCAGCAAAATAACGCATCTTCGCGAAACTAGTTCAGGCCAATACTAGGCCTTTTCAATACGTCATTCGTAAACGGCTGCATGAACTGCGTTGCAATGTTTGGAGTGTCTGCATGCTGCACAGTGCATAGGTCAACCCATGTACTTTATACAATGAGCAAATACATCGGCAGCGCTAAAAATCATATGCGCTTACATACGTGGACCCATTCGTTGTATATTTTGCTTGTCTTACTTGCATCGTCTGACCGTTGTTTTGCAGTTCGTCGGAGCTGCTGGACGAGCTGGACTCGCTGTCGCTGCAGGAAGCGTCGCTCTCTCTGTGCTCGGGGATCGCCGCCTCGCACCAGACAACCATTACATCCAGCGAGTAGCGACGGAGCCGGGAGACAGGGTGTGATACTAGCGGACCAACAGTGTTAGACGGGAACAAAAGCGCGCTGTGCTCCCCAAAATGTATGTGACTCGTGCTTCCTGTGCGCACTAGGCTGCAACCGCCGCATGCAAAAGCTTCAGCAAGGTGTGATATTTGGTTAGAAGTCGTTATGCGCCCCGTGCACCGTCGAACGTTGCCGTTCCTCCACTTGATGCAACATAATGTCGCGAGATGTCTTGTCGCGAGTGGCTGGGACTGTTGGGGGGGGGGGGGAAGGGGAGGGGGCATAATCCAGTTCCAGTGTTGTTGACGCGGGCGTCTCGAAGCACTTGGTCAGGACGTGCGCCGTGAATGTTCGTTGGTCCGCTCCGGTCCGCTACGACAACTTGAAATAGCTCGAATTGCATTGTTTTTATAAGTGTGTAAGAATTAAGAAATAATATATGTATGTGAGCTGCATAGCCAGCAATGATTTTTTTTTTTTTGTACGTTAGTTGGCTAGTTGCTAGCAGTGTGTGTGTGTGTGGCTATCTTCTGGACTGGAATCCTCGCACCCGACATTCTAGTAAAAAACCAGCTTATGCATACGCATTATTGATATGAAGTCAACTTTATCGCGTTATTATAAGACTCAGTCTGAAAGTTTTGAAACAGGCATTTTTTGCTCTCTGAGCCGTTGATGCTGGATGCTCTGCGGTGTGCACACGCAGGCCTCTCCTGCCCGATATGGTATCCAGTTATCCACTATCCATAGTGAGCCGCAATTAGATATTAGGCTCGTTCGTAGCGATATAGCTATGTGTTGTTTCGTATTTGGAATGGGGTTTCAGTAACTGACCGAAATTTCAAGCTAAATCGCTTTCGAGGGGGGGGGGGGGGTGATGGCTATTGGCTGATGGTTGAAGATTGCCAAAAGGATAGGTGGGGCAGGGGTCCGACACGTCAGATGTCAGCCACTTCTGAGTCACGAGGCGAATAGAGCATAGACCAAGGACCTTCACAAGTATGTGCACATTTTTTGTAAGATCCTATCATACCGCCGAGCCTTGGACGGGGGGGGGGGGAGGGGGAGATCTGGGTGCCCCGGATGGCCCCGTGAAAGGCGCTAAGGGTCTCTCCTTAGTCCTTGCTGAATTCATATGTTTAGAAAAATACCTACCAACGGTCAAGCTATTTTGCCATATCTGCACCACTTGGGCCAGAGTCGTCTGAGGGTGGATAGAGGGAAGTCTTGCGAGCAAACTTTTTCCATATCAAATCACTCTGTTATAAGTATAATATCTTCGATTTATTCTGAAAAGCCACGTGTTGGATCAGCAAAGCCGGATAATTTTTTTGCAGCTTTTTAAGCGATTTTAATCCTGAAGATTGCTCACATCAGCGCCAAGATTAGCACGATGGGCAGGGAAATTGACCAATAGGATTGAAACAATTTTCTGCGAGCAGCAATCCTTTAAGCTGATACGTAAATTCTTCACCATGCGAACCAGGTCACTGATTCTCTGAACACTCACAACTCACAAGTGCATTTTTGTGCAAAACGAACCAAAACAAACTCATATTTCACTGTGATGGGGGATGGTGTGTGATTCTGTGCATGATTCTAAGCAAGATTCCCATATTCAGTGTTGGTTTGGTATCATGGTATTTTATCCAATAAAAGGATACTTGTCAGTTTGGAGTCAATTCTGAAATGCTGACGGCCTTCACTTGCACTGGCAACTTCAACTTGTTCCGCAGCTTCAGCTTCGCACACCATTTTATGGTGAGTTCAATACATTTTTTTTGCTCATGCATACCATCTTGAAAATTTTGGAAATGGAGCTTTCATTTTGTATTCTAATTCTCTATTCTATGCTTACTATGTCTTATTCCATGTTTGTGATGCAATAATAACAAATGTACGCAAGGCCAATGAGTTGTTTCGCACTTGTCATTTGTACAGGCTCAAGGTTGTACTTGTTTGTTGTTGTGTCACCTTTGTTCCTACTTCCTACTTAAGATAGCTACATGCTTACCTCTTTGAGCCGTGGGTACTGGTAGTGGGTACCTACTGGCTACTGCAAAACATCAACACTGAGAATTGACAAGTTGCATCAATAAAGGGTGCATAAATAGAATTGTTAACCAAACATTTTCACTGGAAAGCTTAAGAGTAGGTATGCATACATGATATGTAATGCAATTACAGATAGGCTATTGGTCAGCTTATCTGAACTGCTGCTGCCACTTGCTGTGTACCTAGTGTGTGACCTCTGCCCACTGTCACCATTTTCTTGGTCAACCCTGCTCCAATAGAGCTGATAAACATTCTGTTAGGGCGTGCTCCACTTTGCAAAATTTTACACCATTTTGTCACCACAGTGAACGGGCACTGAACCTCACTTTGGCTGAGTGCCCCTGCACCGGCCAAAGACAAGATGCTTCTTATAGGTATCCTGAAACAAGACCTCCTCAAATTTGGCACCCATGTTTTGTATTCCAGCATAGTTATTGGAACCTTCTCTTGGCAGACTGTGGGCAGAAGCATGTTGGATAAACTTCAGTTTCTGTAGCATCACAAAAAAAATTGTGACAGGTGGTTGCAGAGGCTTATCAACAACTTCTGTTGAAGCTATGTTAGTGTGCAGCATCAACAAATAAGGGAATATTGACCAATCTGCACTCAGATCAGAATAGAATGCTCTCATTTACCTAGCCTTAGCTGCACCAGCTCTGATGTAGCTAGCTGTAGCTTATGAGGCTCTAAGCCTATCCTTGATGGTCTTTCTGCACCCCTAATTGATAGCTTTTTACCAATCCCAAATATTATTTGCTGGTCCATGGTGAGCACTGATGCTCCTGTATCTGATCCCAACAACTTTTTGACCACCCCTGCTCAGCTAGGGCTGGATTCTGTTTGCTGGCCCATAGTCAGCAATGATGTTCCTGCCCCTGATCTCAACAACCTTTTGATCGCCCCTGCTCAGCCAATGTTGGACTCTGCCACGCATGGGCCATGATATTGCCCATGTTGCACTTGATGGGCCTACTCTGGCCCCTAATGGGCCTCGATGCATCCCTACATACCTTGAACTGGTACTGTATCAGTGGCACTGGTACTAATTGGCATTCCTTCAGTTCTGACTGGAAGCATCTCTTCTCTTTGGCTCAAACTCTCCAAATGGGGTCCCTCCATTTGCATTCACATAATGCCACATCATCCAGTACCTGTTGCCTTGTCTTTACCTATTGACTTTGACTTTGACTTTGAAGGATTTCAGGAAGTGAGACCTCTTCGTGAGGCCTGTTATTGGGACTGAACAAATGGATGTTGAGGTTTTCCAAAAGCAGCAGCCCTGTCTGTATGTGTGCCATTCGTCGGATGCTATGGGCGACAGCTGACAGCGACCCTTGAACAACAGCGTTCCCTCGGAACAGTGTGTGCCCCATCGGTGCCGGCAGTTTGTCGTCGATAATGGCGTCGAGGATGACGCCCGCTGATCCCGGCTTATCAGCATCAACAAAGTCACAATACATGATTGCTGGAGGACGAGGTTGAAGTCCTAAATTGGTTTGGGTTCTGTGTGTGGTTGGGATTCATGGTAATGAGTAAGCAATACGCTGTCATTAACAACTTAAACCGCAACAATATGTCGATTTCCGTGTCATAGAGCACCATAATGCAGTATCGGAGATCGCATTGTCAGACCCTACATGCCCAATAATTCACCTCATGCCAGGGCCTGGGGTGCACTTCCACAATGTCTGAGGGCGGATGGAGGGAAGCGGTTAAGCTCCAGCGCCTTTCTCTCGTCCTGTCTTCTAGGCTGGCGATCTTCGTCGGTCATTCCCGGAAAACTAGCCGCAGTCGCCGCGTCCATAGAGTTTGCTGATGTTTTCGGCAGCCTCCTTTGTTGTTATACTCGAAACGTGGAAAGTTTGCCAATCTGTTATCTTTGACTGGAGTCTTTGTTGAAAAGTGACGAACTGCTCGAGAACAAGTTTTTTTTTTTTGCTTGCACCGTCAGATTAACAACTCCAGGCTAACTCAATTCCTTTGGCCCGACTCCTTAGATGTAGATTTGATTCAACAATATTGCTCATCATGCGAGCCAGTTAGCAAAAGCGTCCTCGATCCTTCCGCGTGGCATTGCCATTGACTGACTATTCACCTGTGACCATCATTAGCAAGATATAGGTCTCTGTGTAGTGTGTAGGTACTGGAGGAGAAGGTAATTGTGCTCTCTGCGGCCAGTGCCCCTCTATTGTCGGTCATCGGCGCGAGCCGAGCCAATCTCCGCGGCTGTCCGGCTCGTTAGTCATTCGCCGGGACCCGGGTGGTGACGGACGGACGGCGGGGTCTGTTCCCGGGAAATCAGTTACTGTAGCAATCAGCCAATCACCGAGAGGATCAGTTAGTAATAAATGGCGACAGTCAATTATCGAGTGCACCAGACGCTAACCAATAATATCAGCCAGTTAGAATGGGTATCAGCCAGGAACAAAGAGTTTCAGTCACGAAAAGCATTAGTCAGTTGCCCACCATGTTACCATTTTATGAGCTACCATGGTATGAGTCAGTTATTTAGTTACCTACCGATTACATCATCCATGTCTGTAACCCCCAAGCAGTACCCATGACGTCAACCCATTTTAGATACGGTCATATCCGGATGCTTTGCGACGCTATTCGGATACTTGGCGCTTCTCTATCTGGATGGTTGGCGGTACTATCCCAATACTTGCTCTGAAAGAGAATACCTGATGCTTTCCTGCTTGCGAAACTGAAGGCTCTCGCCTCTCGAGTCTAACGGAAATCTGCATCTAATTACAATACATGCCGGATGGCTGGGTCCGATCTGGTCACGAAACTGCATAGCCATTTTTCATCGTCTCATTACTATTCGTTTTTTTATTCATATGACATGGAACACATGTCAAGATTGATGAGCTTGTCACCGTTGGTATAATTAACACCTGACATGGCTTTTCTTATCGGCTATACATGTCTGCGTTACAGGTGACGCCTCAATGTTCGTCATCTAAGCATCACTTTCTTTGCGAAAACCTGCATAATGTACATTGTACACCCATTTCTGTTCCGTCTTGCAAGCCTTTCGTATGCTTTGCGCACCTATCAGCGTACCGTGACACTGTGACCGTTCGTCGGCAGCGCCTGGGTCCGTCTGATTATTGAGGCGGTCGCTCTCCGCTCGCCGCCATGCCGCTGGGACTGGGCGACCCAGCGCCGTGCTCGGCTGCCGCCAGCGATACGACAGAGGAGGAGGGGGAAGAGGATGCGGGAGACATCGGAGCACGGCTGGAGAGGGAGCAGGAGCGCTTCAGGAGGCTGTTCGGGGTGTTCGACTCCAACCAGGACGGCTACCTAGATAAGTACGTGGACAGCCACAGGTGGGACACAAGGATCAGAGGGTGCTCTGAGATGGTGTCGAATCGGTAGGAGGAAATATGCTCTTCGAAAGGCAGACTTGAATGAAGTCCCGGGGTATCAGATAAATCGTAACTTTTGGGACTTTGTCTCTTCGATTACTGATCCTATCTGTGCCGTTATAGTATAGTGGAAACACCTACTGTGAGGCCGTACTGTGAGCGGTGCCGGTAACCAAGTGTTAACGCTGACCATGTTCCTCTGCTCTCTGCCGTCAGATGGGACCTGGAGCGGATGTGTCGCCAGCTGGGGCTGGACGAACAGGCCGTGCCGCTCATCCTCAACCAGCTGGGCGCCGATCAGATGGGTCAGCTCAGCTGCGACGACTTCCTGCGCGCCTGGATCGAGCTGCGGACAGAGGTGGAGCGTCTCCGGCAGCCGGCGGCCGCCCCGGCCGACCACGGCGGCGACCGACAGCCGCCGCTGGCGCCGTCCGACACGCCGCTGGGTGAGTGGCGGCCGGCCGAGACGGACAGACAGACGCGCTGGAGCGCAGGGCTGGGCTGGGTGGGCTGTAAACAGCTGTAGAATCGAGCAGCCATTGTCAGACTGAATATATGGATGGGTTGTAGCAGCAGGCATGGCGAGACCAGAGAAATAGCTTAGGCTGAATCGTGTATCATCAACCCGTGAGGCCAGTTAAAGGGCGTGTTTGGGAACATTAGGCTTGTAGTCAGCTAGATATCCGACACTAGAACGCTGGCATGTTTGGCCGGGCCCGAAGATATTGTGCGTCGACGTATTTTCGACTACCGCCATCATTCATTGTCGTCCTCTCCATATTTTCCAAGTCTCTGAACCGTGCTACCCGTGCTGGCTGTTTTCCCTGCTGACCTCCACCTTCCCTCCACAGGCGACTGCGTGTCGTGGTCGTCGGGCGCCACCTCCGGGGACCCGTCCGACAGTCTACTGGCGCTGCTGGAGCGGGCCGGCCACCAGCCGTCCGAGGAGCGCTGCCAGCTGCTGCTGGCAGCCGATCAGGTCAGTGGCGATAGCGGCACCGTGCCGCCCACCAGCACTCTGTTAACCACCGGCTGGCCGCGCTGTGCTGTGCACCAGTTCACAGTATTAACAACCGACCGATCAGGCCAGTGGCGGCAGGCTGCTGCATTGCGCTGCCAACCAGTCCATTCTACTAACGACCGACCGACCGAGTCAGTAACACTGCACTGGCCGCGCCGTCCACCAGCCCGCAATGTTATCCAACGGCCATTTTTCATGTTAGCCGTTTTTCAAAGTAAACCACCGGCTAGTTAAAACTGTCAACACGAAACATTTACTTGGATCATCACTACATGCAGAACACGCCGCATTGGTGCGTTTTGCTGTGCTTGGCCATCTCCATGCAGTTGACGCCAATCCTGATGCCAGATGGTGCGTTATTTTTGGAACGCAAGTGGCTTGACAGTTGACTCTCACCCGCACATTGCATTTGCACTATCTTAAACACACATGAGGGAGGAGTTTTTTTACGTCTCGTTTCGTCCTAATTGAGATAAAATTTTGTATCACAGTCTGACAAAAATTGAAAGAGGTCGTGACTCGTGGGTCTAACATGGTCTAGCGATACCCGATTTAATATCCTCAAGCTTGGTTCTTGTTGAGGGTACTAAAAGTGGAACAAAAACAAAATTTGGTGAAAGCGTAGAATAGCGACCCCATGTCACTGACGCAGTGAATGTTGGGAACACATTACAGTTTCAGATACGAGTACGTTTCGACGAACGACGGGTTTTTTTGAAGTGGTCAACAATTACTAACTTTCCGCGCCTTTGGTTGACTGTTCGGTAACATTTTCAGTTTGCGAAGAAGTTGGCCGTTCTATTACACTTAAACTGCTCATTTTTGTTCAGCATTTGTGTTGTGCACTGTGCAGTGACGATAAGCATGAAGACCTTCGGTGCCGACCACCGCGCGGTGGCCACGGGCCGAGGTGTTGCGTCATCACGCGCATAACCAAACAGCCGGTCGTACCGCTCGGTGGCGGACCTTTATCGCCTTTTATCGACGGCGCTGCTGTTACGTGTGTGTTATAGGACAGATAAAACGGATAATATATGCATTATTTGCTTCCTGGTATGGTCGTTTCCAGCTCCTTGACATATTTTTCGTGTTTTACCAGTTCAAACTTTTTTTGCTGAGATGTTCGATACGGAGCCCTCGAAACTCCGAAGCGGATAGCTAATTTTTAGTGGAATAAATACTCGCTAGACTTTTGCTGATTTTTTATTACATGGCTTGGAAATAAATGCTCCATTCCAATATTCTTTTCTTCTGGACTCCGACTGGCTGCACATCATCACAAAACGGTAATTTTTTCAGCCATTTATTGACGCTGTGGTTATTTTCAGAAAAAAAAACGGAAAAAATCGGCGATATGTGTTGAACTTTTACTCCAAACGCAGTTTTTGCATTATAATGAAAATAGAGGAGGGAAATGAATGTGCGAACACCGATTTTACGCGCACAGGGCCCTCTTCAGTCTCCATAGAATAGACCCACCTTCGGTGATTATTCAGGAAGTTTGAAGAGGGTTATCGGTGCCGCTGATTGAGCTGACTGAGCAGAGTGGCACGGGCTGGAGAGACGAGCGCGCCTGTAGGCTGGGGAGCTGAGTGGGTTGGCGGGGCAGGCTGAGGAGCTGCGCACACTGGGCCGGGGGTCCGGAAAAGTGCTAGAAATTATTTGTGATTGAGTTGTTGATCTCAGTGACAAGCAAACATGCTAAAAACGAAGTGGGGCTGCTTAACCCTCGCTGGACCTATTGTCGGACCCCCCACCCCCTCGGCCGGCCGAGGGGGAGGGTTGGTACGACCCCTTTTTGCCGTTTCGCCCCTAATGGAGCTAGAGCCTCGCGGAAAAAACAAGCGTGTGCACCGTTTCAAGGCGGAACGATTGATACCCGATTTTAAGGTCCCAGGTCAACCGGTAACCTCTGAGGTGAAGTCAAAAAGCCCAAGGTAGGGTTTGGTTTTTGGAAAATAATTTCGCAAAAATGGCCGCAGAGCAGCGATTTTGGCACCATCGTGTTCGCCTGGCTCAGGCGCGTCGAATGGTATACTTTTTGTTCGGGTGAGGTCAACTTAAGGTATTGACCTCGAGTCAAGGTCAGTTCAGAGCCCATCAGGCCACGAACTTAATCGAAGGAGGTCGTATCGCATATCATTCGATTCGGGAGGTCTTCCCGAGTCCATTGGTGGCTTTCCCGAGTCGCTGGCTCAATTTGATCATGAGTTATTGACGAGAAACTCCTATGACCGGTGTGACGTCATAAATGACGTCACGGAAGGTCAAAAATGCAAAAGTAAAGCATCGGATCTTGCAAGGAGTGCACGAAATCACGATTCCGTGTGCTTGAGATAGTTTGAAATCATTCCATGCGCAAAAACAGCAGTTTCCTTATTTCCCCATTCACTTTTAATGGTGAGGTCACGTGACCTCGAAGAGTAGCAGGCATTAGCAAAAATTGCGAGTAGGGCATGACAGAAAGATGATTGGTGGTTTGTATGGCATGGCCATTTTTAACGGCTCGAAATAACATATCTCAAAAAGTCTAACTAAAGAGCAAGTTGTTGTTGATTATCACTGACTTGTGTTTAGGGGTGACTGAATATAATAATAATGACTGAATTTTTGAGTTTGGCCCAGAAATGTTGACAGCATTGTGTGCGTTGATCAATTCTGAGCTCAGGGACATATATTTCATTTAGATTATAAGCGTTTGTTTTTCACAACTTCCAGCGTTTTAAAGAGCGCCGGGCCTTCAGTAGAGCGGAGAGGTGACAATTGCCCCTACATCATGTGGTTTACTGGCGCATATCTCGAAAAGTAGCAGGGAAAAGCAGCAAAGCACCTATATGGAACAAAAGATGAGTAATCAGAGGCTAGTATGAAATGTTCATTTTTAGCCGCTCGAAATAACGTTTTTATAAAAGTCTAATTAAAAAATTGGATATGATTTTAAATTACGTCTTGCAGCTGCTTGCAAACAGCTAGCTTATCTTGCAGAAAAGCGATGCAATATGTCAGAATGATGTTGGCACAGTGAACAACAGTGCCCTGAACTAGTCTGACAGGAAATTTCGTTCAAAACGACGATTGGTCAACTAATAAATTACCAGTAAAGTTCATCATTAAAATCGGTAAATGTGGTGGCCTATAGAGAGTCTAAATTGTCTTGTGTTTGGTGACAACTGACGACCTCAATTTTGACCTTAGGGCAAAACTAGCATCGGAATCGTATTCTTCGATCAATTTGGGATTAAATGATACCTATTTTGTTCATATTGCGGACAGTCAGTTTGGGGGAATTTCTAGCGCTTTTTCAGGCTGCCGGCCTACAGTGCTGCGGTCGGCACGGGGCAGGCTGGGGAGATGCTGCCGATGGAGCGGCCGGCTGAGGAACCTACTATAGTGAGGTCGGCTGCCGTCGGCGCCGCGGCCGGCGGAGAAGCCGAGTAGGGTTGGCTGCGGTCGGCGGAGGAGCTGAGTAGAGTCGGCTGCGGTCGGCGTCGATCGGCCGGGCGGCCGTCGATACCGTCGGCAGTGGGCCAGTTGCCGCCGACTAACCGTGCGCGCCGGGTGTCGGCCGGGGTCGCCGCCGGCCGGGGAAGGGCGCCGGGGCATGCGAAGGCGCTGGGCTGCCGCCGGCGATACGGGGCTGGTGAGCGGTGGTCGGTGCTGCATCTGCTACTGATATTCGATCTCCTTTCGAAGGTATGCAAAGTAGGATAAACTTTTACGTGTACGGCAATCAAACTCTTTTACGCATGTATTTTTCTACAACATTGCATTGCCCAATGTTCAGAGTGGTCGGATGCGGGTGCAGAGCAAGTCTAGATAATGGCTGTGTCACTGATGCGTAGTTTTGTTCCCGGCTCCCAAAGTTGTTTTCTTTTGTTCTCACTCTTACATTGCTCTGCCTCTTACGTGGACCTTCTAGTTAGCTTACACCCTTCCATGATCTCAGATTGGCCAGTAGTGTTTCCTACCGACCAGCTGAAAAATCTTGATCAGTCCACTTGAGACGAAAGCTGTGTCCACTGAAGGACTCCCCAACTGTGCCCACTATGCCTGGGACTTTTCTTTTACGAGAAAAAGTGCTAGAGCTGAGGTAGGCGACTTAATCCATCGTAGAGGAAGGCTGATTCCACTGCTGGGACAGTGCACTGGCTGTGTTTACTGCCTGGGTCCGCCGATCTCGTCCGGGGGCGGCAGCTCGCCGGCCCGGGCGCTGACACAGCGGCTTCGCTCTGCCGCAGCGGCCGAGTGGCGGCCCCCGGCTGCTCCCGGCTGCTCCCGGCTCCGCAGCCGCCCGCGGTGGCGGCTGCCTCCCGGCGCCGGTCGATGCGTAATCATCTTTGGCTTCCAGCGCGCTTTGTTCCGGTTAATGACTGAATTAATTAAAGTGTTGACTGTTTGGCTAGCAATCAGAATCATAAATATACATAATTTGATAGACCACTCTGCACTGTTGATATCGTTTTGTAATTTTTGTCCTTTTTATTATGGTCTCTACCTTGCCGGGTCCCGAGGACATTGCGTCTCACCGTGTGTTCACTGGTCTGGCCTGTTTGACTGTGTGCTCTCCGGTGCCCATTATCAGATGCACCGGGGGCGGTGTGTGTGTGGTCGATCGTGCCGCCTTTCTTACCGTGCGCCGGCCGGTTACATCCCCAGGGGCACCAGGCGACGGTACTGACTTGTGTGGCCTGCGGACTGCGGTGTCCGCCTGTCTGACCCGAGGGCCCGCCGGTACCGTCCCCAGGTGCACCAAGCGGCGGTGGCTGCGCTCCGTTCCGAGCTCGCCGTCAGCGCCGCCCGACTGGCTCAGCTCACAGAGGAGAACAGCCAGCTGCAGAAAGCACTCAGCAGGACACTGGTGAGTACTCACCGGGTACTCCGGACATTTGTCCTTTCACCCCTTACACTGTTTTGCCCGAAAACTTCTCGTTACAGGCACGCTGGTCAATTTACTCCGGACACACACCTCGATTACTTGTCAGTATTCAGTACAGCCGTATACCGGTCAATTATGTAGTTAGGAATATTGCCAGTGCACACCAGAGAACCAGCCACCGTGAGCCATTTTGCCACCTGGCCGTGCATTTACTCTAAATTTTCCCTCGGAGGATTACAGCTCAGGGGCCGTGAGTTCGATGGTTCTTTCTATGCGATGCGGTGGTATTGTGCGCCGCCTCGTGGACCAGAGGCCAGCCCAGTGTGGCTACTACAGCGTCCCGCGAACACCGGAGGCAGGGGAGGGGCCGGGGGTCTCCGTACCGGCAGATGACCCTCGTTAGCGGTCCATTCAGGCTCCGTATCCGGCCCGGCTGCCGGCCCTCTCCGCCGCCCGCCCGCCGCCGCTCCCGCCCGGGGAGGGGCTGCCAGAGCCGGCCGGCCCGGTCATCACCTCGGCGGGCGGCGGCTGAGGGTATCGAGCGGCCGCTCCCGGGCCGGGGTGAGGCAGCTTTATTGGCGCGCCGTCACTGGTCCGGATCGGTGACAGATTGGCCGCGCGCTGGAGCGTGCCGCGCACGGCCGGAATTCCGGGCAGGGCCGCCACCCCGGCTCCGGGACCATCACCGAACGGTAGTCGATGGGATTCCTTTCGCGGGACGTACTATTCAGGATAACTGAATGAGGCACTGACTTTCCGGGCTCGGACTATGACTCTGACGGTGATCTGCATCTCTAATGCCTTTTGTGAGAATTGTGCCGATGCCCTGGATCCGGTAGCTGGAATCTGAAATTGATGTGGCGACAACCAGGGTACGTCATGTGGTGTCAGAAAACGGGAGTTATTGGGGGCCACCGTGACAACCGTGTTTCACGCTGGTGAATTCGTTCCTTGTTGCGCCGTTTGGTTTGATTTAACCCGCGCCCCACTGGGGTCTGTGTATAACACGCCCTACTGGGGGGGGGGGGGGGCTATTCATAGCCCCCCTCCTAACTCCGAAACTACTGGGCCGATCGTCAAAATTCAAACGGCGTCTGATAGCACCGGAAAAACTGTCGAGCGAAACCTAATTTCATTGACCTCGAGGTCACCGATGACGTCACAGGTCAGGTCAAAGTAAAAATTATTAGCATTTTGGCTTGTTCACATTTTGGGCTCTGGCCGCCGTCTTACAAGTCAGATCAGGCTCATTTTTGGTACACACACTCTTAAACAGATGCTCTAGATACCCTGAGGGTACCAAGCTTTTACTTTGATTTCAGGTCAAGGTCAGGTCATCACAGGTCACGAAAATATTTTATCATGCGTCGGTCACGTGACACATGTTTTATGGTCCATTTAGGCCATAGATTTCGAATTTGATGTCGTCTGTGTCATTCGAGGTCATTTTGAGTCGAATTTAGCTTAGGTCAGGTCACTTTCAGGTCAAAAAAGGTCAAATTTTGAAGTTAAAATTTTTCAACAAAAAAGGTGTCTATTGGATGCAGTTTGAGCTCAGGAACACGATGGTGCCATTTATATTGGTGTACGATGTCAAATACGTACTGAAAAAGTGATTTGAAAAATTAATAATTGTGAATTTTTTGCAATAATGCGCATAACTTGGCCATTTTTGAAGATATTTAGCTAAAACTTGCTAGAGTTAGTCATAATCAAGCGTTCTGTCACATATATTCCGGTTTTTTCGAAAAGTCAAAAACTTTTTGAAAAAAATATAAAAATACATATTTTGAATATTATTATATCAAATTTTCGAAATTTTCAAAATTTTGAAAATTCGAGATAGCAGTTTGATAGCGCGGTCAATTCTGAGTCCTTTCATGCAAAGAAATTGGATCTAGCTTAAAAACTGAGCTCTTGGGAGCGATTGCCGTGGTTCAATGTTTTGCGTCGAAATCGGCCGAACATGACGTCACTCTGACGTCATTTCCGGCTGACCTATGGTAGCTACGAAGTTCAAATTTTGACACAAGGTGTCAAATTGATGCAGCCAAAGGTACTGTAAGTTTGGCGTCGATCCGTCAAGCGGTTTGGAAGTTATTGCAGAAAAACGGGAGGGGGGCTATAAATAGCCCCCCCCCCCAGTGGGGCGCGGGTTAAGGGCTCCTCAATTCGTTGGCCTTTGTTGGTCTTTTCAATGCATCACTGTCAGCGTTCCAAAGGGCTCTGTAGCCGTAGCGGCCAGGCGAACTTTTCCTTTTCGTTTCAGTCTTTGAACGACTGCCAGGTCATCACCGACGCACTGATAACAGCAGCAGTTAACTCGCCGAAACTTAATCGACAAAGTCGACTGACCAGCTTTCAAGACGACCTGCGCTCAATCTTGATACTTTTCTTCCAGTAACGGTCTATCGTGCCGAGAACGAGCAAAAGCACTTTAGCGGCGTGAATGCCGAACGACGTATCACAGGACACTTGTTCATCTCTGCTTTGTGAATAAAATTGACTCTGGTCGTCAGTAACATTTTCATTGCAACTTAAATGGACGCTTGAAAGCCCGCCCTTACGAGCTGAGGCGACAGCCCGGAAGTTCCATCAGCAGCAAAAGCATGCTGCGAAAATGCTGAGATGAGAGGGCCGCTCCTCTAGAACTGTATGTGACACGTCCGTTCTTTGGGTCAATCCGTCGTTTTGCGGTTAGGCCATCGTTATGGCTGCTAGAGATGATGTTTTTCGTACTCCAGCGTAGATGGGTAGCCATACGGCTTCCACGGTTGACAGTGATGACCTCCGTCATCTTTTGCAAACTCGTTAAAGATTTGGGCTGTACGGGGATTCGAACCCCGGGCCTTTGGATTAGCGCTCCAATGCTTTACCTCTGAGCTATACAGACCAATTACTTTATCGAGCTTTCTGCCAAGTTTTATGCGGATCATTCTTAGGTGTTGTTTTTATCCGCTGGGACTGAGAGCGTGAGATGATGTTTTTCGTACTCCAGCGTAGATGGGTAGCCATACGGCTTCCACGGTTGACAGTGATGACCTCCGTCATCTTTTGCAAACTCGTTAAAGATTTGGGCTGTACGGGGATTCGAACCCCGGGCCTTTGGATTACCCATCTACCCATCCGTATGGCTACCCATCTACGCTGGAGTACGAAAAACATCATCTCACGCTCTCAGTACCAGCGGATAAAAACAACACCTAAGAGAGTTATGGCTGCTAGTTTGCACAAAATCGTCCAGTTTGCTGACTGCACTGTGTGCCTGTATGTCAGCAGCGGGAGCAGGCGTGCGGTGAGTGCTCACTGCTGATTGTCACTGTGTGACTGTGTGACTGTACTCACATCGGGAGTACGCGCGTGGTGACTGTGTGTCTCTGTGTCTGTATTCACAGCGGAAGCAGGCGCGCAGGGAGCGCTTGGACGCTGACCGGTGTGTAACTGTGTGTGTGGCTATGTAGTGTACCGTCAGAGGGAGCAGGCGCGCGGGGAGCGCTCGGTGTTACTGTGTGACTGTGTGAGACTGTGTGACCGTTTGTCACTGTAAAAATGACTGGTCCTACAGCGGGAGCAGGCGTGCGATGAGCTGTCGTTGTGACTGTCAGTACGTGTCTGTAACCCTGCAGCGGGAGCAGGCGCGCGGTGAGCTGTCGTTGTGTCTGTGACTGTTAAACTGTGTGACCGTGTACCCACAGCGGGAAGAGCCGCGCGGTGAGCGCTCGGTGTTACTGTGTGTGACTGTGTGACTGTGCACTCATAGCGGGAGCAGGCGCGCGGGGAGCGCTCGGTGTTACTGTGTGACTGTGTGAGACTGTGTGACCGTTTGTCACTGTAAAAATGACTGGTCCCACAGCGGGAGCAGGCGTGCGATGAGCTGTCGTTGTGACTGTCAGTACGTGTCTGTGACCCTGCAGCGGGAGCAGGCGCGCAGTAAGTGCTCTGTGTGACTGTGTGTGACTCTGCACCCACAGCGGGGGCAGGCACGTGGGGAGCTGCTGTGTCTGTGACTGTTAAACTGTGTGTGACTGTGTGACTCTGCACTCACAGCGGGAGCAGGCGCGCAGCGAGCGCTCGACCGCCGAGCGGTACGAACAGCGCCTGGTCGAGCTGCACAGCGTCATCGCCGAGCTGACGCGCAAGCTGCAGCACCAGCGCGCCGCCGCCATCGCCGAGGAGGACGAGGACGAGGCTGACTCCGACTCCGACTCCGAGTCGGCGGCGCCGTCCGGCGAGCTGCCGCCCGACTCGGCTCCGGACTCGGACTCGGCCGCGCCGGAGGGCGAGCGCCGGCGGCCGGCCTCGCCCGGCGACCTCGGCCGAGACGCGCCACACTCCGGACTGGAAGAGCCGCTGGGGGCCAGACAGACCTCGGTGCAACATGCCACGACGGGTGGGTAGACATTCTTCTCGTTCACTGTTCACTCAGTTCAGTGCTTTTTATTTTAGGCTGCGAAATACCTGATCGATTCATTGAATCGATCAGATTGTCCTTTGTGAACTCCGTATAAACTCCGTATGAACTCCGTCTATGCCACATATTTAGTGTGAGAGAGGTCACATTTGTCCTCCCCTCCCGTTCTCTTGCAGCACTGGCGGCGGCCGACCCGCATCAGGCAGGTCACGTTTGCCTTCCTTTGTCCTTTTCCAGTACTGGCGGCGGCAGAGACCGGTGCCAGACAGGTCACATTTGCCTCCTTTGTCCGTTTTCAGCACTGGCAGCGGCCGACCCGCTTGGGGCCGCCGATAGTGCCGACAAGGCGTGTCAGATGACGGAGCCGGAGTCTGAGGCGGAGCCGGACCGGGAGCCGGAGCCGGAGCATAATCCGGAGCCCGCCGCGGACCGACCGCGCTCGGTGAGTCTCCACCGAAACAGTCTTAAAGTCTCAAAAAGTTTTTAAGCCGGAGTCTTCCTCTACGAACGACAGGCGCCCCAGACGATTTTACATTTTCGCTGAATAATATTCATATGCTAATCAGGGACCAGCCTGCGTCAGCTGCTGGCCGTCTCTAGATTCTCTGTGATGTGCTCCGGTGGTCTGTCTCTGAGAACAGATGGTCGACTTTTACGGACATCTTGTGTGGTTGGCTAATGGTATAGTATGTGCCGACTACCGGACGATCTGTATCGTTTGCCTGAAGTGAGCAGTTGGTACACGCATGGTCCGATGGGGTCAGGCTCAGTAGGTGATAATTACTCATTACCGGTCGGGTGATACCGTGCATTGACACTCGGCTCCGTCCCGCAGCCGGCCGGAGCGGCCCGGCCGGCGGTCAGCAGCGCTCCGCCACCATCGGACGGCCACCGGACACTGGAGCGCGAGATCCACTCGCTGGTGAAGGAGAATGGACGACTGCAGGTGAGATTTGTGTCACCCTCTCTCTCCTCACATACCGGTACAGTCTAACGATATCGATGCCGTATACTGGTATCGGTGCCACATATTGGTATTGGCGCCGTATGTTGGTATATGTTTATTGTTCAATGTTGCCGTATCGCGGCTGTCGCGTACCGGTATCGCTGTCAGTATCGTTGCCAGTATGGATGAGATATTGCACACGTCCCTTTCCTTGCGTCTTCCGCTCCCTCGGGACGCGCTGTCTCCCTCCCCCGGGACCTCCGTCTCCCGTCCCGCAGTACCCCCCGTCGGCCGTCTGTCGGCGGTCGCCGACTCAGCCGTCCCGGGCGCTCACTCAGCGTCGGCCGACCGTCCGGCCCGCCGGCTGATGAGATGGCCGGGGACAGAGGATCGGCGCTGGCCCGCCAGCTGCGACATGACGGAGCGAAGGGATCAGCCGGACACTGGGCGGCCACAATCAGACGGCGCCGTCAGAGACCCGGCGGTCAGAGGCGCCCGGTGTCGTCCGCTGCTCTCCGGCCGCTCTCCCTGACCTGTCCGGAACAGAAGTGGGCGGCACACGGCGGCTGTTAGTGGGCCGGTCTCCGCCCGCGACATGACTGCCGCGGACCGCCCCGACCGCGAGCCGCCCGGCCCTCACAGGCGGACACCAATCTGGTATAAATTATCTCCGACTTCTGAAAACGCCCGACACGTCCAACTTTCCGCAGATCAATCAATCTTCTGCCAACTTGGGCACTTGAGTATATCAACACTAGCAACACTGCTGACAGCAGGGTCTCTGGACAATAAACATGCTATAGTGGCGAAATGTTGTGAAATTACATCAACATTTTTGGCATAGAGCTCTTCAAAATTCACCAGTCGGCATTATTGCTTTAAGGTCGACGGAAACAGCCGACACTGCGCTATTTGACCACCGGATTTTTGGGTGTGCTGCGTTCTAATACAGCCCTTCTGTAAACACGTCTGATTGGATGCCCGCGGCCGCGTTGGTGACCGTTCGCTCTGTACACAGGAGCGGCTGGGACAGCAGGAAGCCGAGATCAACCGGTGCAGGATCGGCACCGAGGGGGCCGCCGAGGAGCGTGACCGACTGCGACGACAGGTGGGTCCGGGGCAAGATCACTTTACTGTCCGGGACGGCGGCCCGACACGGCCGAGCTCCGGCCCCCGTCCTGACAGGGCCGGCGTGGTCTCCATGCGTCGTCGCGGTGTACGCGTGTTACTGACTACTGAAACCGATGAACTACTGAAATGTGTTTACGCTTTCCGTTTCATCAGCGGTTTTTCGACAGTCGCGTTAGAAACCTCATATTTTGATCACTTTCAGCAGCGCCTTTTCTGATTGGTGCCTGTCGCGCTAGTCGTTTCTCTCTGATTGACGCGTGCCGTGTCGATTGGTGTCCTTCTGTATACGTTCCGGGTGCACTGTCGCTAACTCTTTCTCTGACCGGCATGTGTCCAGGTTCTCGAGTACCAGCGGCTGGTCGAGTGCGCCTCGCCCCGCTCGGCCCGCTCGGGCCGCTCGGGAGGCTCGGCCGGCCCGTCTCCGGTCGTACCACGTGTCGCCGAACGGGTGCGGCTCCGGCCGGCCGCAGGAGTCACCGGCTCGCACATCGCCGCACTCGGGGTGAGCGCGGGGTGTTCTAGGCTAGTGGGGCTCAAGTGTGGGTGGGTTGAAAGGTATCCCTTTGGGTGGGCCAAACACAGGTTGGTTCTTTGTTATTGGCATGTAATGGTCGATTTTTATGAGCATTTGCTACTGTTTTATTTTCAATTTCACGTATCAATAATTTCAGCATTGTGAATTTTGCTTGTGTCTTGTGTGTATTCGTTCTTTTCCGTGCACGTGCCTGCTTTTACGGCATTTGGCACTCGTCCGTGGTTGCTGACGTAATAGTGCGCCTCCGTCAGGTGGAGAGCACGCGGGTGGCCGAGCACCTGGTGCAGGAGTACCAGGGCGCCTCGGCGGCCCAGGAGGCGTTGCACGCCGCGGGCGGCGACCCGGAGCGGCTGCTGCGGGCCCAGCTGGAGGCGGAGCGGCTGCGCGCGCGGCTCGAGCACAGCCAGTCGCAGGTAGACGTCCTAACGCTCAGCTTGGAGACGGCGCGCGCCCAGAGCGAGCACCTGGCCGCGCTCTGCGGCCGCTACGAGAGCAACTGCGTGGCGCTGCAGCTGGCGGCCGAGGCCGGCGACCAGCTGACGGAGGCGTTCGACCTGCTGGTGGCGCTGCAGGACTCTGAGCTGGCGCTGCTGCTGGCCAGCTGCCGCGCCGCCGGACTGGGCACGGCCGCCGGACGGCTGCCGGCCGCCGACGCCGAGACCGCGCTGAGAGTGGCCAGCGAGCAGCGGCGCAGCTGCGAGAACGTGGCCCGCCACGCGCTCAGCCGGCTGGACCGGCGCGCGGCAGCCGCCTCTGAGGATGGCAGTCAGAACACCAGGTGAGCCGGCGGACGTGTAACGCAGCTGAGGGATGACGAGGCTGACGGGTCTGCTGCAAGGGGAGCCGGCTGTCTGTCCGCAACATTCAGCCGTCGCGCGTGTCAAATCAAACCTTACTCCGAACATACCGTACTGGAAAATGCAAGATTCGTTTTTCTTTCTGCATAACATGCAACGCTAATTTGCAATGCCATTAGGGAATCACCGAAATGTAATAATAACTGAGCCTTAGTGACCATTTTCCGTCACTTTCCATGCTTGTGGATTTATCCGTGAATGCATGTGTCCAATGTCCATCCAACCAACTCGTACATAATGTGACAGCGGGCCCGACTCCCCTCACACAGCACGACGTCCTCGTCATCGAGCGGCGTGGACGTGGACGTGGGCCGCTCGGACGAGACGCGCGTCCGCCAGCACATCCAGCGGCTCAAGGTGGAGCGGGCGCTGGTGTGCGGCACGACGGTGCACCTGGAGTCGACATGCCACACGCCGCCGCCGCCGCGGCCGCTCAGCCCGGCCGCGGCGCAGCGGCTCGACCTGGAACACGCCGTGCTGGTGCAGGTGCGGCTGTGGGACACTGGACTGGGTGGGACAGTGGGATACATATCAGGGTGGTACTGGATGGGACCGGACTTGATAGGACTATGGGGTAGCGGGTGCCGGGCCGGTTGTGATCGTAAAGCACTGGACCGCATGAGAGTGAGAACGTTTAAAAAGATACTAGAGGATTCTCAGATTGTGCACGATTTTGAGTGTAGACATTAGTGAGCCGATGTTGAGTGTTTGAGTCCCAGGAGCCGGTGGTGACATATATATCCTGTCTGTCCCAGGAGCTGATGGCTAGTTTTCTCTGTGTCCCAGGAGCTGATGGTGATCTCTGTGTGTCCCAGGAGCTGATGGTGATCTCTCTGTCTGTACCCTAGGAGCTGATGGTGATGTAGATACCGTCTCTGTGTCCCAAGAGCTGCTGTTGATATCTGTCTATGCCCCAGGAGCTGATTGTGAGTTTTCTCTGTGCCCCAGGAGCTGATTGTGGGTGTTCTCTGTGTGCCCCAGGAGCTGATGGCGCTACGGGAGGAGCGGGCGGAGCTGCGCTCGCGGCTCTTTCTGGTCGAGCGGGAGCGGACCGGTCTGGAGCTGAAGCTGGCCTCGTGCGCGGCTAGTGAGCAGGCTCACCGGCTGCAGTTGGAGCGGCTGCGGGGACCGGCCGCCGCAAACGACCGGGAACAGGTGCGTGCGGCTCGCTAAAGGGACGACTGCGCTAGTAACAGTGACTCGGACAGTGGCGCATCACGGGACAGGTGGTCGAGAAAGCGGCTACCTCAGGTAGAAAATAACTTTTCTGGAGCACGCTCAGAAGTGACAGGATTGTAATTAAGTAAACTCAGGTCTATGGAGCTCAGTTGTGCAATTTGCGTGCGACGACTGTTGCCACCTGTTGTCCTGACTGCTGTTCCCCGTCTGCACCGGCAGCACTCTTCTGACGCCGTTGACCAGCCCGGCTCTGAGGACGGCGGCCCAGAAGCGGCGCTGCAGACACAGGTTCGCCAGCTCTCCGCCAGTCTGGACGAGGTGACGCGGACGGCTGAGAAACGACAGCAGCACGCCGACCAGTTCATCGCTGAACTCAAACGGGCCAACGGGTCAGTCGCCGCTACAGACACGCGTTGTTGTGTGCGCGCTCACACACAGACACTTGCAGGGTCCTGTGCTTTCTATCATTTTGAGTGGGAAGGAGGTGCTTGCACTTCTCTATGAAGTAGAAATGAGAATTGCAACGACGCTGACAATATGTTTAACTTCGAATACCATGGGATTTACATCATTTATTTGCCTTCAGTGGCTCTTTTTTACCAACCCACATTTGTGACAAATAATTGTTTCATGAATGATAAATGGACCATGGTCATCTTTGTCAGAGCTCTGGCGGACGCTCTGGAGAAGACGAAGCGCAAGTACCAGGCCAAGCTGAAGCGGCTGGAGCAGCAGATGCTGCAGATCGTGGAGCGCCACTCGAATCAGGTAGGTTCGTTGCCGGTGGGACGGTCCCAACAGCTCTGCTTGTCCGTGTGGAAGGGATAGTTTTTAGAGAACACCTCTGATTTGAAGGGATGCGAACGGAATGCTAACGGCCATAGCTGCAAAGAGCTCTGATCGTGGGCGCTGATCCATGTAGACTGTAGAGTTATGCATGCTGAGCTGCTGCATCATGATTGACCAGGGCTTATGCAGTACGCACGACTCAGCTCGAGCATTGAATGGTCGACCATTATAATTGAAGGCGGTCTCGCCGAGACTTGACGCGCCTACACCGCCTGGACTGTTCTCGTCTACCTGGAAAAGTTAAAACTTCACTTACCCGGGGGCAGATTGATGAGGTCCGTGAGCTGACCATTAAGTACCTAACGTTTCATTCTCTTTCTTTTCCACAGCAGCACCAACAGCACAAGTCACTTCCAGAGCGTCCGGGGCTGCAACAGCACCAGTCGCCGTCTGAGCGTCTGGCACCACAGCAGCACCAGCAGCCGCACCAACAGCCGCACCAACAGCAGCCCCCTCCGGATCGTCCGGCTCCCCAGCAGCACCAGTCGTCGCCGGACCGACCGTCGCCCCGACAGCCGTGCTCGCCTGTCGGCTCCCGACTACCCGTCATGTCCCCGGCGGGCAGGCCGCCACCGGTTGCCGGCCGCCGGCCCAGCCCGGCCACTCCGAAACGGACGGCGCCGCCGCCGCCGCCGCTTTCCCTGCGCCCCCCGGCCGGGCCGCGCTAACCCTGTCGGAGCCGGCAGAGGTACTCGGCAGGTACCGTCGGCGGGAATGGGCGAACCGTCAGCTCGGCTATTGTGAGCACCGCATCCCCTAGAGACGTGGGGCGTGGGACTGCGTTTGCCAGTCCCGCTAGCACCTGCAGTGTATGTACTTGTGGCGAAGTATGCACGATTGTGAGCGACTACCCGTCGCACAGGGTTAAAATGGAGAGCTACCGCGCCATGTAGATCGTAGCGTATCAACCATGTGCCTGCCGCGGTGCCATAGCGGGCCCAGTGCGCCCGCCAACGATCTCGTCGACCCGTGCCCCGCCTGGGCCGCTCCCCAGCCGGTCTGCACTATGTGGAGGCTGGCTGGGGTGGCCGGACGCCAGTGCGGTCCAGGCTATTTTTTAGATGTATGTGCCAATGTTTTTCCGGTGCCAAGTGGAGCGCCAGTAGGATGGTATGTGCGGACGCTGTGTAGGGCCTCTAGTGATGAATTCAGTGGTCCGAACGGGCGTCAGGTACCCAGTTAGGCCGCTGCCCATGTAGCGGCGTCTCCGTCTTCCGTGATAAGCCAGTGGTCGTGGCTGGTGTATATTACCGTTTAGGTATCCAGGCAGGCTTTGTGGCTATAGGCGAGCAGGCCAGGCGGTCAGATCTTTCAGCTCAGCGGCAGACTAACAGTGGCATATGCGTTTGCTCAGCTTGGGTTACATTTTCCGCGACGTCTAGCGCTTCTGGTAATTCCATGAAATGTGCGTGACTGGAGAGGAGGCTGACGAAGTGATATTTGAGCGACAGCGAATGATGCGTGCTCGAAACTCCCGAATCCTATGCAAATCAGTTTTTTTTTGTGTCGCTTAACGAACCGGCCCGACATGTGTATTATTTACTTATACCGGCATCGGTACTTGCCAGTCTTCCGTAAAAGCAATAGGGTTATCTTGGGCGCGGTAGGGCATCTTTCGCGTCGCCCTACATGAACCCTTCATTTAAATGCTGGCTACGCTTCGAGATTTTCGTTTTCATGTTAATTTTTGTTCCAAATCTTCATTTCACATGTCCAAATGATCTCAATGCTAGGTAGCAGCTTTCACTACCCAATGGCTAGCGTTCGCGGTTTTTTACTCGTGAATACGAGCATGTTTGTCTCGCAGAGGAGATCGATTATAAAGACGGAAGACGTATTGTGGAATTAACATCCTAAAGATGCAAAAGTGAAGAAGCGAAAAACTCGCTGCGTAGCCAGACCTGAAATGATAGCAAACTACTTTGTGTATCTGCCTAATGGCGAATGTTGTTTGCGAAACGTGTCTTGCCAGTTGCAGCCGACTTTTGTCTTTTCGTAGGGACTCATTTTTTCGATGCATTTTCTTGCTCCGTTTTCTTTTTAAGCATATACCAGTGATGCATTTCCAGGTCGAGCTCCTGTGCTGTGTATGATACTGATGCGTGAAAGTGTAACATACAATAAGAATATGCTATTATGTTGTGGCAAATACAACACCTGACAGGCTCCTTCGACTTTGATTCGATTGACTCGAACTGCAAGACTGCAAATATCCCGACACTTAATGGCATTGTATTATGGCGTGCGTTTTAAGACATTCTGCACCACGCAGGATAGCTACCAGTCGCGGCTACGCTCCGCAGAGAGGCTCACAGCAGCGGCGAACGTAAATCGCGACCCGGCGGCGGCGGGCCGAACTCTACCCGCTCCACTCTCAGCACGTGCCGTCTGACTAGATACGCGTGCGCGAGAGATACAAGGAAAGAATGCATAAAAATAGCGCAATTACACGATAATGGCGGCCTAGGAACAATATTCAAGGCAGGCTAAATTCATTAAAAAGGCATGGAACGAGCAGCAGCTGCTGGGGAGTGCACCTAGAGCACAGAATACATTCTGGAGGCTTTGAGAACGGAGCAGCAGGGCCCGTGCTACTGCGCCCTGATAGCGTAGTTTGGGTCAGATCCCCGACTGCCTCGCTGCGCTGTCCACAGTTCCCGGCTGCAGTGCAACACAGTGCCCAGCCCCCCCCCCCCCCTCCCCCCGCGCCGCTGCACAGTGTATAACCCTGTGGGCCGACTCCCCGATCCTGACACAGCGCTGTTGAAGTCCTGTGACCAGCCCGCTGACTGCACTGTGGCACACCCCGATCGCAGCACTGAGCCCGGCTGCAGTCTCGTGACGGGGTGTCGGCGGCCGACTGAGGGGCCGGTCCCTGCCGACTCAGACGGCAGCCAGAGCGAGTCGTCGGCGGTCGCTGACGTCCGTCGGCCGCACTTCAACGACCCAGGAGGCTGAGCACCTGGGGAGCGCTGGCCGGCCGAATAATGCCCAAACGCAGCACGCAAAGTAGGGCCTCTGTGAAATAAAAGGCATTGGGATCGGTGAGCGACACAATCTGGATTTGGACTCTATATTACCGAACCATTTCCAACTATCGGTAAAAGGGCAATACAATTCGTAAGTTACGGCGCCTTCAGTTAGCTATTCAATAACCGTAGTTGGTACAACTTTTCATGCATTTCTTCGCGTTGCCTCACCTAATGGCGACGAGCCGGGCCCCTGCCGTTCACCCCACGGCCAGCCGCGCCTGCCGGGCAGAACGAGTCAAATCAGAAGCGCCGAACCGAACAGGAGTCCAATGTAGAGTAGGCGATGCAAAGTTAATAACAATTAATTTTAGGAGTGCTCGGTAAAGCGCCACCTTCCCCGCTCTTATACATTACAAGGATAAGCTCCCATTATCGGTGTTAAAACGGGCTGTCCACCGCAAACACGTAGCAGACGAATGTGAAAATAATTGACTGAGAGCACACAACGAAGATCAGTGAGTCACACAATAGGCACAGCCCCTCGCCGGTACGGCTTGGTACAGAGCTGCCCGTCCGCTCTGAACGAGCTGATCAGTGAACGCACCACCGAGTCCCGACAGTCTGGAGGCGGGCATGGCCAGTCGGGAGCCGCGGGCGCAGGCCAGGCCGGAGGGGCGCGCGGCGGGCGCCGGCGCCGGCTCGACGCTGGAACAGACGCGGCCGGCCGCTCGGTCACGGGGCGGCTACACATATAGACGGCGCCGGGCGCTGCTCGGCGTCACAGCACAGCACTGCTCGTCACTGGCAACACTCCACAGCTGACGTCATACGCTGCATTGGATCGCGTGACGTCAGCGATTCTCCAGCGTAAGTAGTTTGCAGCAACACTTGGGCGGTTCCCAATTTTACGCATCATGCGTCTATATTTGCTCCTGCTAGCTGTGTTTCTACGATTGTCTGTTTTAACGAATATCGAAAGCGTAATTGCTCGACTGTGGACAAGCTAAGTGCAGCCCTTGTCTGCTTTTGTTCTGGAGCTTGACGAAACTTCATATCCGCGAAGCCCGAAAACGGCGAAACAATCGGCTGTAGATGTTAGGCCAGTACTGACTTAACGGTCCGCGTAAAGCTATCATCAGACTAACAGATTTGAACTTGCCTAGTCAGGGATCTGGTGAACTTTCTATACTAAAAAACAATAATAATATCACGGATTCACTTCAAAGCCTATAAACGTAAAACAAAACTCATTTTACGTAACAAACCTTAGAATATCTTGCACGGGTAGTCAATTGTCAGTACCTTAGCTTAGCGATCAAAAGCAAAACACCAAATGCCGATATTGTAGCGGAAATGGTAAATTCAATCGGCGAGAGTTAAAATGGCATAGCAGCTGAGTGTGATGCTCGTCCCAAGTCACATCACTTCCAACAGCTCGTCATGCACTTGCCGCAGACTGACCCTGGCGCCGCTGCCCTCAGAGCGTCCCGTCACCAGTCTCAGCGGCCTCTGCTGTACTCACCTCTGTGACCTGGCCTCCTCAGCAGCCACACGAGCTCCCGGTGCCGCGGCGGCCGGCCGGCGGACACCAGACGCCGCGGGCGGGCGGAGTCCGCTGGCGGAGGGCGGCCGCAGGCCCCGGGCAGCCGGTGCTCGCAGTCCTGAGGGGGCGGTAGCGCGCGGCGCCGCCAATCCTGAGGGGGCGGCAGCACGTGGCGCCGCTAACCCCGAAGGGACGGTAGCACGTGGTGCTGCCAGCCCGGAGGTGACGCTAGCACGTGCTGCAGCTAGCCCTGACGGGACGGCGGCTCGCGGCGCCGCCAACCCCGACGGGACGGTGGCACGCGGTGCAGCCAATCCCGAGGGTCGCGGCCCTGAGGGAATGGCAGTGGCACGCGGCGCCGCCAGCCCTGAGGGCCGGGGCGCTGAGGGAATGGCGGTGGTGCGTGGCGCTGCCAACCCAGAGGAAACGGCGCGCGGTGCCGCCAATCCTGTAGGTCGCATAACACCGGAGGGCCGAGGCTTGTGTAGTATCGGTTCTGAGTGCGGCTCCGACTCCGACAGCGGCTCCGAGTTCGGCTCCGGGTCGGACGGCGGCCTCTCCGGCTCGTGGTGCGCCGGCCGCTCCGCTGTGGGTACCCTGTCCTCTGCGCTGTCCGGACGCAGTAATTCTTCCGCCGCTGCAACCGGACCATTGGTCTGCGGAGACGGGCCAGGCCGGTGCGCCGTCAGACGGACCAGGCCGCTGCGCCCGGCGGCCGGGACGGCGCGGAGCGCGGCGATCGGCGGCGAGCGGCCGTCGCCGTCGCTGGGCGGGCTGGCCGGCCGGCCGGCCGAGATGGGCGTCAGTCCGGCGCTGCTGATGCTGCCGGCCGAGCGGCGAGGGGTGGACGTGAACGGGCCGGCCGGCCGGCGCAGCGCGGCCCGTGCTGCCGGCTCCGCAGAGGGAGCGGCCGGCTGCCGGGGCACGCGGTAGGTGGCCGGAGAGGGGACGGACGCCGGCTCACACTCCGACGGCACAGCCGCGGGGGCCTCCGGCGCTACAAACGCATCGTCCGACATCTGAAAACACACATATTCATCAACAGCCATCCCGACTCTGGACTGATGGGATCACAGGCAATCACACGAAATATGCTAGAGGGCGTCAGCACGCACTTCCATGGGTCACTCATTGTCGGCCGCTCCGCAACGGGTTCGAACTATGATACAACTACAAGCAGCTGTTTCAGACAAATTCCTACCAGTTTACTGAATGTGAACTAGAACATGCACCATTACAAAGACAAATGGACAGCTACATTTATTATCACATTTTCGAGTTAGAATTGGTAGGTACCTATCTGGATAAGCGAGGTTAACGATATCTCACCTGGCGGGTTCTGGGTGGTGTCGAGCCGTGTCGACTTCGACGGCTGAGCTCGGCAGCTGGGGTTCTCGCCAGAGCCGTGCCGCCACCGGAGTCTGGCACTGGCGATTCGCTCAACAGCGCCTCCTGTGCAGCAGTGCGCGACAGTAGGGTTTCTCTGTCCAGCGTGCGATTCAGAAGTGACTCTTGGTCCGCCGTGCGATGCAGCAGAGCCACCGTGGCGTCCGCAGCTCTGCGCCGTGGCTGATCCACGTCGTCCCCGTCGGCGACAAGAGGTGAACTGGCCATCCCGCCGTCGAAGGTGCTGTTCAGGGCGGCCCTGCCGGCGGCGGCGAGTGAGCGCCGCTCGCCGCCGAGGGAGCGCCGCTCGCCGCCGGCACTGAGCCGCGCCGAGGGCTCGCCGGCGTCGAACGTCTCGTTGAGGCCGACGGCGGCGGCTGGCGGCTGCTCGGGCCGGCGCGACTGACGCCGCCCGGCGCCAGAGGACAGCCGCGGCGCCCGCAGCTCCCGCTCCGGCGAGCCGTCCGCCCCGCCGCCGGCGTCAAACGACACATCCGGCGCCGGTGCGTGGCCATCGAACGTGCTGTTCAGGGGACCATCAGCCCCAAACGTGCCGTTCAGAAGCGTCCACCGGTCCGACTTTCTGTCTCGGGGCGTACGTCTGTCGAACGTTTGGTTCATGATCGCCTCCGTATCGAATGTTCGGTTTACGGGCGCATCAGTGTCGAATGTCTGGTTCAAGGGCTCCTTGATATCGAGCGTCCGGTTGCGGGGCGCCTCAGTTTCAAACGTTCGGTTCAAGACTGCCTCAGTATCAAAGGTTCGGTCCAGGGGTGTTTCAGTGTCAAACGTTCGGTCTAGTACCATCGGCTGCCGTTCAGACTTGGACGGCGCTACCCGATAGGTGCCAGACCGCCGCTTGTTGACGCGATAAGTGCCCGAGTCCGGTCGGGTCGAGTCCCAGGGCGTGAGCTGCGGCGGCCGGCGCGGCGCCGCCGACATCGACCGCTCCAGCGCCTCAAACTGCAGGTTCTCGTACTCCTCCTGCGTCTGAATCTCCAGCTGGCGCAGCTCGGCCGAGGCCTTCTCGCAGAGGGCGGCGTAGGCAGGTGACGCGGCGCGCGCAGCCCGCTCCCGCTCGGCCACCGGGCTGTCGGCCAGTCGGTGACGCCGCCGCGGCTCGGCCTGCGGCGGCGGCTCAGACATCCGATAGCAGGGCACCTCGATCACCTCCGGCTCCACGGGGGCGGGCTGCTGCTGTGCCTGGTCCCGGCGGCGGCCCGGAGTCGGCGGCCGGCGCCGCTCCGGCTCCGGGGCCGGCCGGGGCGCGGGCACAGGATCAGCCTCGACCCCGGAGGCCAGCATGTGCGCCATGTGTCCGGCGTCTGCCGAGAGCCGCTGCCAGCTGGCCGCCATCGCCGGCGGCTCCTCCTCGCCTGCGGTCAGGTCAGTGAGAGAGCATGTCAGACAGTCAGACAACGCACCGTACCGCGTCCGCAGCCCGGCGGCGACACCGCAGCAAAGGCGCTCACAGTATCCCACACACTGACCGACAGACCCACTCTGCAAGTACAAACTCTTTTCCAATAGTGTGGCATCAATACAAAGAAGTACATGTGATGTCTCACGTTGAACGAGCAGCATGAGCGGCTCACCATTTTCTTTGGCGTTGGCAAACTCGTCGGCCAGAGCGAGCGCCTCACGGAAAATCAGACTGTCCATGTCCCCGCTGATCTGAAAGGATTACAGATAGCCAGTCAGGCCGGAACACAGGCAGGGAATGCCACCAATATTACGCAAACAACGGTACAATGCCCGAACAAACAGCATACGCCGATCAAATGACGGAAATTTAGTGTCGATGTGTAATTGAAGCAGATGGAGGAGTTAGCCTATCCGACGGCATTCCATCACCCACCGACATCAGGTCGTCACTGGTGGCTGACAGCAGCAGCAACGCGCCCAGCTCGCCGGCGCCGTCCGCCTCGCGGGAGCCCTTCTCGGTGCCGTCGGCCCGGTTCGGACCGGCCGGCGAGCCGGCGCCGCTCGACGTGGGCGTGCCGCCGGCGCCCGGCGAGCCCGAGCGAGGCGCGCCCTTGCCGCCGCCGCCGCCGGAGAGGACCATCGAGCCGCCCTCCAGCCGGTTGTCCATGGCAGTCTGCGAAGCCAACATACCATCAGATCACACCACATTGAAAATAATCTCACCCATGCATTGTCTACTAAGTGCAGACTGCAGACAAGTTCTGATAGGCTTACATCCATCCAAAAAAGAGGAAGAAAGGGAGAAAGAGAGAGATGGAGAAAGGGGGAGAGGGGGAGAGAGAGAGAGAGAGAGAGAGAGAGAGAGAGAGAGAGAGAGAGAGAGAGAGAGAGAGAGAGGGAGGAAGAGGGAGGAAGAGGGAGGGGATGGAGATGGAGTGTTTTCCTAGCACCTAAAACAGTAGCATGCTGATGAAAACTAACACTAAACAGTACCATGGTTTACAGGAGGAAAATACACTTAAGGGCTATACTTAAGGGCTATACTTATGTATACTTAAGGGCTAAGCAGATACTGGAGATAATATTAAAATTAGATTCCACACCAAAACCATGGAAAGGGCCCCAAGGATTGTAGGCAGTGGCAGTGAGTTTAAGAGGATACTGTCATCTGGAAACAGCATGAGATCACCAGTCATTGTCAAGTTCAGCTGAGTAGTGCATAGGTAGCTGAAAGTTGAATTAAAACCATGATGGCCTCACTAGGAGAACACCATCTGAATATGAAAAATACCAATCAAGTCATCTATACTAATACATGCTGAAGTTATTTCAAACAGAATAGTCAGTGGATGGAACAGTCTGCTAGACATGGGGTAAAGACTTCAACTGCAAACATGCTTAAAATCAGGCTAACAGCTACACCAATAGGTACGTGGCTGCTGACATTGCTTCTTCACCTCAACCCCACAATTGATCTCAATCTCATTTCCTAGTGATGCCCGATGTGTGCACTGCATGGACATTTTATTTGTCTACTACAGCAGCCAGCTCACTACCATTCAACATCAACTTCAACACACTTCAGTCAAGACTTGTCACCAGTGTCCTGTTTCAGTGCACAACTCTACAACGCGCTGCGCTACAACATGGTATTGATGTGACATTTGATACAAATTTATCTCAATGCTCCAGCGTTGAGAGCGACCAAGTTTGTTGCTGTCTCTCTGGATTTGAAACCTAATACACTGATAAGCATAGCGTGCTCGAAGGATTGTGCCATGCAGCAAAGCCCAGAGTGACAGTCGGCTGGGGGTGTATCTTCGGTGACTTGGCTTGTCGTTGTTGCTTTGGCCTTTGGGCTAGGGCGCGTAGCAGAGCTTGTCCAGGCCAGCACAAAGCCGGGCCAGCGTTGAACTTTGAAGGCAAGATTCGAGAGGGCTCACTGAACTCTGGTTCAACTCACTCTCCAGCTCATTCTTACCTCAAACTGGCAAGAAAAGGATGTTACCACTCTCCTGATAAAAAATCCCAGGATACAAACACATACGAAAACACTATTCCAACCAAATTTCAACTCAATGGATAACAACCAGGGTTACCAACGAGAATTTTTCTAAATCCCAAGATCGCCGCGCGAATTTCCCAAAATCGAGCTCCATATCCCAAGGTCGACAGGATCAAAGCCCAGTGTGCATCCCAAGGTCTATAGAAACCAAATATAGAGCAAATAAAGTGTATTTGACGTATTTTTAAATCTTTGGTTGACTAAATGATAAATCAATATCGTTAAAGGGACCCTCCCACCTTCAAAAAAGTTTATGAATCAGTGGCGGCGCCACGAATTTTCGCCAGTGGGGGCAAGCATGAGGTGACCCGATTGTTGTCTGATACGCCGATCTTCAAAATCCATGAGCACCTTGCCCCTAGATGTTGCCATTCAAAACTATTATGGTTTCAGGTTTCATGCTAACGTATTGAGCTTAACCGTCGCGGGCCCGGAAGGGGTGGGGGGCGTTTTGCGCCTCCCCCTGGCGAATAACCGTGTTCGCAGTTATTTGCGATACCTCACGAACGCTTAGGGATAGAAAGACGAAACTTGCTGCACCTTATCCCCCATTAATTTGACATCTTTGAAGCAAAAAATTTGGACCCAGCCTGCTTGATAACGTCTAAGGGTCGATTTTTCTAGACTCCTGCACGGCAAACTTCGGCGCCACAGACTTGAACTTCAACCAGCTGCCAAAAATAGAGTTTTAGAGATAGAGACAAATTACGAGCACGGTTGTGTAGCATTTGACCTAGAAAAAAAAAAATACTTAAGTAACTTTGGTGACCTGAGGTCAGAGGTCAGGTCAACGACCGCCAGCTGGGGCTTAGTTTTTTTTTTTCGCAGATAACTTCAACAAAAAAGGTCCTAGAGCTACGGCAGTGGTACGTACCTGCACATTTGTCTCGTCGAGACACGTCGAATGGCTTATATATTGTTTGGAAAAAGGCAAGTTTAATGTTGACCTCATGTGACCTCGAATGACCTTTGGCTGACTTTGACACATTAAATACCGTTTGTGATGATTTCGTAGCCGCTGATCACGATTCTGGCATCCATTTTGCTCTAAGCATTCAGTTAGAGCCTCAGGACGGCAAAACATGTCTTAATTATTATGCCTGACTTGAATAAGTGAAATAGCCTCTAGCAAGGATACTCTCTTGTGACTTTGACCTTGTAGCAGCCTTGTATCGTAAGCTAAAGCACAAATAGGGGTCCGCTAAGCTTCAAAACATTTCAAAACATCTGGGAATTTAGTATACAAGATATAAGAAAAAGTGCAAAGTTTGTGGTCAATTTTAAGCATGACCGTTACCTTGAATTTGAATGTTATGCACATCATCGGAGTAGTCAGAATCTCTTCTTTCGTTTAACATCTATTTTATCCGGTTTTATGCACCCTGCCGTCCTCTGGAACACGTACTTTGAGACCACTACAAAAGTGCTGGTTTTTACCTTTGGCCTTGAAAATTGACCTGAGGTCAAACAATTTAGGTGTTTTAGAATCTTCTCGTAGATACCTTTCGTTTGGTACCATTTTTGTTTCCGTAGCTGTCTTATTTACCGAGTTAGACAGGTGGGTGGGGGGCTACCTCCGGGCTGCGGTGGTTGGAATTACCTCCCGGGCCCGGCCGGGTTAAAGTCGCGAGCAAATAAAACTATAAAATTAGATTGCGAGACACAAACCTGTGAAAACGTTATGTTGTTCGTTGAGATATAAAATGGTGTATTCCTCAAAACAATAGTCAATACCTAGTTCTCTGTTTTTCCCGTAGTACTTATATGTGCGATTCTCTCACACACGATTGGTATACCAGAATAAGCTCCATTAGGGCGACCCACATACATTTCCAGATAACTCGGATATACATACCTATCACATTTTTGCATACCTCCCTGAGCTCAGTCTCAGTCCAAGGGTTCCCAAAAGAGGGTGATCTCTTCTCTGGCCGACTTTTGATAAACTGCCTCTCAACGCTCTCAACCTCCTCAAGGTCAAGCTCGCGCGAGGGCAGCCTTCTGGTGAATGAAAATGAGTAGGAGAATGAGTGGGAGTAGGCGATATGCGACAGACGGTCTGAAAACGAACGTTCTGCTGATGCACTTGATACGGGGACCGTCAAAAACAGGCGTACTTTTATAATCGCCTATCATGAATGTTGCACCGGTCTTCTGTTTCCTTTTCAACATCAGCCTAATTTTGTGGGGGCAAAAACATAGTCTTGCCCCCACGACCTCCTGCCAGTGGGGGCAGTCTGCCCCCACTGCCCCCACGGTGGCGCCGCCCTTGTTATGAATTGGCATGAAAGTGATGTCGCTCGGTTCAGAAAGAGCGAAAACGAATATCTACCAAATTTCACCGAAAAATATTCACCGGTTTTCAAGATATTAGACTTTTACTTTTGTTTATTTTTTGGGGGGATCTCCGCTGTTTCTAGCGACTTTATTTTAGAAGTGCGGCGTTTGCGGCAGATGTTGCGCGCAAATAGCATATACCACCGCGTGCTACAAAACGTTTTAGTCAAACATTTAAAAATCGTTAGATATTTGCGCTGACGTCACACATTCAGAGCATTAGCCCCTCTGTCACACATTCCTAAGCATTAGCCCCTCTGAATCAAAATGCTGCAATTTTGAAATTCAATATTTCCGATTTAAGGCATTTCTCGATGTTGTGAGTGCCGAAACCGGTAATTGTGAGCCAGGGACCCCATTTTGGCTATCTCAACTCAAATCTAATGTTAAGGTGGGAGGGTCCCTTTAACATAACTTGCATTCAGCACAGTTACACACGCAGGCATAGGTACAGAGACACAGCAAGTTACCTGTCTGGGTTTTACGAGTTGAAGCATGATCCGTCGCAGTGGCGGATCAAAGGGGGGGGGGCAAAATGGGCATTTGCCCCCCCCCAAACGGCATAATTTTAACATTACGCCTATGGACGATGCATGGGAAGAATCGATAAATTTTATGGTTTGCCCCCCAAAACTCTGAGCTGGATCCGCCTCCGATCCGTCGGGCGTCACAATTCGCAAACAGGCGGCCAGGCCGGGTGTTAATCGACGCGGAAGCCACTGGGTATTTCGCTAATGCCTCACTTGAGAGCTGAGACGGGAGAAACAAAGTGAAGACGCGTCAAATAAGGATAACTTATTCGTGCTTCGTTGGTTGCTTGGTAAGGTACAGTGAAACCAAACGAAAGCACGCTCGGTTGTGTTCGTCCAAAAAGGACGGTTTACAAAAAACAAACAATTAAGTTGTGTTAGATGTGTTCCTGATTCCTTTGTTTGGTCTTTATTAATACTTTTCCTTTTTCCAATGATTAAAAAAATGTGCTAAAATTAGCGGGAGTCGTAAGCTCGGGACAAATCCCAAGGTTTGCTGTTGAATCCCAAGGTCCCAAGGTCGGGTTCAATATCCCAAGATCTTGGGACAAATCCCAAGCTTTGGTAACCCTGATAACAACAACGCCCTTTGAAATTGATTTTCAACTTGCTGTTCAAAATTGTTATGTATGGTTCGCGCCATAAATGTCGTAGACAGAAGCTTCAATATTTACAAAAGCACTGACAAACTTTAAATATGGCGATCAAAAAGCGCAACAGAAGAGAGTTATCAAACAGAGACAAAAAGGCAGAGAAAGAATGTAAAATGATTTTTAGGTAAGAGTTTTAGAATATTGAAACAATTTAAGGACTTAATGAATTTATTCTTCAAAAGCCTGACATGTCAATCACTCTTTGCTGTATACCAATTTAGCCATAGAGTTAGCAGTGAAATAAGACGCCAATGCTTTTCGTAGTTCCCTTTCTTGAAGATAGATGGCAGTAAGAACACGTCAGCGCAGCTGCACTGTCACTCAATATACCCTGGCTGCACTCGTCTTTCGCTGTACTTTGGTTGTCAAGTTCTCGAGTTGTGTTTTGTGGGTGTGTATTGGGGCGTTGGCGAGTGATTGTGCTGGTTTGGGTGAACTTTGGGTGTGAGTGCTGGTCCCTGGAATTGCTTTGTCGCAGGTTAGTATGACGACAAGTTCATATCAATATGTACCATGATTTCTTTTGCTTCAATTCTACCCGTGGTGCCGTTCAGGGCTCCGGCACCAGCACTGTGTTGATATTACAAATCAATTTCAATTTTGTTTGCTGGTTCTTTTAGGCTGGGTAGACTCTTTATATCCATATCAATTTTATAGATAGATTTTTTGAAAGGTTTTGCATTATCTTGTTAACTTTATAGTCATTTAACCCTATTCCTGGCGGGGGGGGGCCTCAGGAGCCCCCCCCCCTGAGGTTTTTTGGTTATTTCTCCCAAACGCGTTGAGCTAGGAAGCTCAAATTTTCTGACTTTTCCTAAAAGGCTTCTACGCAACATGTCTGAAAATTTTGAGTTGATCTGACCTCAGGTCAGGTCACCAGAGGCGGTTTGGTGACCCTACCTCAGAAAAGTTTACAATCACGCCAGAGCTAGAGTTTTTGACCGATCAATTTCTTCTCTTCAGGGTTTAGTTAGGGTACCAGTATGTGCAATTTGTATATCTCGGAATTTTGATATCGGTGACCTAAGGTCAGGTCAATTTCGCGACCTCCCCATTATAAGTCAATGGGGGAAAAATCAACTCCCTGTTTTTACCACTAAAACGGGTCGGAATGGCCCCATATACCATACATGACTTCATATACGATCAACCTTCACTACCTTGAGGTCTGTTTTGCTGTTGGGCAGCTGTGAGGTCATGTGACGTCATCAAAGGTCACCAAAGGTTTTTGGCCAATAACTCCGTACAGGAACAAGATACAGACGCGTGGATGGTCTCATTGTGTTCAGCTCGTCAAGACGCATCGAATGATATACATGATGACCTCGAGGTCACGTGACCTGAGGTCAACCTTTGACCTTGACCTTTCGAGGTCAACATATATATCATTCGATGCGGATTGACGAGAGGATCACGATGATGCCCTTAGTTTGTTCCTATCTTGACTGATTCGAAAGTTATTTGAGAAAAACTCTCTCCATATCTAGCGCCGCCATTTTGACTTTTTCGACCCCTGTGACGTCATCTTTGACCTGACCTGAAAATGACCTTAGTAAAAATTGTAGATCTTGGCCGTGCGTATCCGATGCCGTTTACCGCTTGTCGCTATCTTGCTTCGTTCTCGAGATCTCAGGGGGGGGGGCCGAATCGGCCCCCCCCCCGCCAGTTTCTTGTCCCGGCGGAGCCCGCCAGGAATAGGGTTAATATTCAGTTGATTTGTTGAGATGTTCGTGACAGTGAAGCTGAGTGGTTGTGCACAGTAGTGGCAGAACACCTTCGATAAAGAGGGGCACTGCCGACTGTTGGTCCCATTGTTTCCATGCAACGCCCATAGGGCTTATTTTAAAATACCAAAATCAAAGGGTGCCCTGGTGCAGTGTCCTGAAATTGATTTTTCGGAGAGTGTGATTGAAGCCGCGAGGACGTCGCTATTTCAAAAGGACGTCGATATCGGTGCGGAGCCTAAGCCACTGAAGATCCCTTACCTAAATCTCTTAAAATTAGCGATTTTCACTGGCAATATTGACTAATACCACCTCAAGGCACCTCAAATGATCATATATAGACACAAAGTAATGCCAGTTTACCCCTAGTAAAATACAAAATTCAAGCATTCACCACAAACACCAAAACAACACTTTGCAGATGTCTAGTTCTTGTCCATGATCGTACACAACAGTCAACAACAAATATGCTTCAACAAAATCAGCCCAAGAGCCAGCGGCTATCACTAAATATTGACGTCATAAGAGGGATATCATATCGAGCAAGGGGACTGATGTAAAAAAGCAGACGTCCAAACACAGAGGTGGAAAACAGTTCGGAAAATTAATTTCCATAGCTTACTGTTATGAAATTCAATTCAGAAAACTCCAAGGTGGACGCTGAATTTTTCTTGGCTGGAAAAAATGTGAAATCATTGTGCACTTTTCTGTTTTGTACCGACGTCGATTAAATGGGAATAACAAGGTCAATCGACGTCCCCAACATTGCGTGTATTTTTAGGCCGAGGACGACATACTTGAATTAATTCTGTTGAAATTCGGTAACTTTATTCTAATTCAAACAGATAAACATTAAACTTTTTCCCCAACCACTATCAACATATGCAAAATTAACTACTTTTGAAGGGCATGTTCAAGGGGCAGCGCTAACCCGTTACAGTGACCTTCTGAGGGGAAAAAATAATTAAATATGTTACAGTAATTTGATACGAAAGGTATGTTGCGTGCTTATAGTTAAATGTCCAAGTAATATATTCGCATGATTAATTTTTATCTATACACTGCACAGTTACTAAAACTGAAAAGTGGAAAACGACGTCCTCAGATCCCTCTATTCCGACATCTTTTCTCCTTCATATGGCAGCATTACCTTCACATGGTCAAGGAAAAAACCTATCCATATCTGACGCACAGAAAACGAAAATAAAATAAAACCGCGTTGTTTACTGTTGCGGCAGTTGGCCAGGAAAGGGGAGTTGAGTGTAAGAGTGGGTTTGTGAGGACTTAGGATATATTTGTTGTCATTTTGGCCGTGTTTTTAGGCTACAGAGGTGATATTTCCTTTTGTTAGTTTGCTTTTGGTGTTCGATATACCTATCGACTTTTATCTGTCAGGGACGTCGTTTGGCTTTCCGGGACGTCACAAAGAGAATCTGTTAGGTGTGGGTTTCCACCCAAATTCACGAAAATCAGGACACTGCCCTGGTGCCCTCCCCGTTCCGCCGCCTATGGTTGCGCACTTAGAATTGTTAGGTGCTCAACCTTCTTTGAAGGAGTAATTTTGGCATTGAGTTTTAGGAGCATCATTGAATGGAGTTTGGTGGGTAGATATTAATTATAACTTGTCATGCCTAAGTTGATAGAACTCTGTAACAATACAAGCAAATTATGCAAATTGTGATTCAGATTGTTTGCTTATAATCAGAACGTTCACAACACAGGATATCATCTCATTTTTTTTTTTAGTGGTTCTGCCATATTGTTTGTGAAACTGACAGCTCTTTCAGCTTGATTTGGAGGCATTCCACTGTAGGTATGCCTGAGGTCACAAGTTTTGCCCAGGAAGCCCTGGTCCTGGTTGAGTACCTATAATTGGACCAGGCTGAGTAGGTTTCAGTGTGAATTTTGTCCAACTCCAGTTCAGGCTGCTTATAGGTAGGTATTATATAAAGTTACCTAAGTTCATGCAGACATGATGGGATGGAAGGATAAAAAGTATCTAAATGGCATTGCCTGTGTACATAATTAATGTAACAAAATATTGACATTGCCAATGGGTAAAGGTGCAGTCCTAAATGCAGTTAAATAATGGAAATTGTTTAGTGAGGAGTAATAATGGTGTTCAAGGCCAAAAGCTGTGATGTCAGTGCCTCTAGGCCTGGGGGGCTAAATGTGCTTTTTACTGGCTGGTGCTGCTTCTGCATTAGGATATAAGCACTAATGGTGCTTTGCTTTATGTATACCAAATTCACTGCACATTCATAACTCACTTACCATGTCCAAATTTTTAGCACCATATTATGTAAAGCTGAAGTTCCTTTCTGTTCTTTTCATTACCTAGCAACCACAGCAGCAAAAATGTGACATCACTGACTTGGTGTTACTCCCCTTTTAATCTCATACTTTCACTTAGTTTATTGATCAGGTTTAAGAAGGAAGAGATGCCAGTTACCAGGGTGGCAGGATACAATGAAGAGGCTTAACAAGAAAGCCTCCTATTTAGGAGTATTTGAAATTTTAGGTACCTACCTATTGTAAATGCTTGCTGCCAGCATGCTGTAATTTAGCTAGAACATCCATTAAGGTGTTGAAATTTCTTTTAGCCATTTCCAATTTTTCATTTATAATATTTTATTTTTCTGAAGAGACTAAATAGTTCTAAGCATGAGCTATTAATAGCTCATTCTTTTGGGCGTAGAAAGTTGGGGTGTGATTGATCAAGTTTGCTGAACAAGTTTGTTTTGATTGACTGAAGGAAGTCATCCTGGATTTGTTTTGCAAGTACATAATCCACTCTTCAGAAAAAATCAAAGTGAAATGCGTTCTCTAGACCTAGGGACTGCAACAATAGACTGGTAACCCCTACATACCTACAGAATGTTACAGAATGAGTCATAGACACCATGCGTTTTTCCCCGCATCCCGGTAGGACGCTGGACTTCCGTTTGTGAGAGCCCAGCGCGGGCTCAATATGCTCCGGCGCTCGATCCATGAGACTGCGGACGGGAATGGTCTGCGGTTGGTAAAAAAGTGTATGCAACATTGCGCTTGGCTAATGTCAACTTCTAAATCCTCCCGATAACCCGAAATTTTCCTATCTGACTGCGTAACAAGTTCCGCTTAGCGTTGACTCTTGCTTTCTCAAAAAATATTCGAACACAATATCTGAAGAAATATCTAATGCACAGTGCGAGTTTTTGATCCTGTGGTCTCTCCTTTGCAGGCATGTCGTTCCGGGTGCGAAGCAGTAAGTTCCGACATGTGTACGGCCAAACGGCCAAAAAGGAACAGTGCTACGATAACATCCGCGTCTCCAAGTCCTCCTGGGACTCCACATTCTGCGCGGTGAACCCAAAGTTCCTGGCGATAATCGTCGAGTGCGGCGGCGGAGGAGGCTTCATCGTCATACCGCTTAAACAGGTGGGTTGGCAAATCTCGATTTGCTTTTTGTCGTAGTTCATTGAAATAAGTCAAAACGAGACGCTGCGGTAAGACTTGTATGTATGTCGTTGAATATTTGTCCAACAATTACCAGCAGTTGTATTCAGGGCCTCCTCTAACATACCCACTGGGTGGGCAAATGCCTACCCAGTCACCACAATTGCCCACCCAGTGGCGTCGATTTGCCCACCCAGAAGCAAATGCAAAAATAAAGGTCCGGTCAGACGTCCGGTAGGAACTACCACTTCGGTTTCCCGGAAAAAAAACTTGCTAGCAGCCAGTGCCCCAGCCCCCAATCACTGCAGTGCAAGTTATTTTTTACAATGGATGCATCTGAATGCAGGGGCGGTAGCAGACTTGGCGTTTGGGGGTGGGGGCAACTTGGCAACTTTGCCAACCCTCGGAGGGGGGGGGGGCGGTGCTAGCGTACAGGGGCCCATGGCCATAGCGGCCTCAAAGGCCCGTATGGAACCCCAGAGGCCGATGTGGGCTCTCAGAGGCCAGTGCGTGACGCCTAAAGGTGTAAGCCATGGGTCCCCAGCCAGACAACAAAATAGGGCCATCAGAGACCTTATAGGCTGATTGGGGACTAAATAGGGCCTCAATTTGGAGCCATCAGGGGCAAATGTGGGCCTCAGATATCAGTGTGAGGCCCTTATAAGACTGACATTGGTCCTCAGAGACCGGCATCAATCCTTCAGAAGCCAGTACGGGGCCCTCAGAGGCACAAAAGGGTCAGTCTTGGATCTCAGAGGCAGAAAATGGGCCATCAGCAACCGGTGTGGGACCTTTAGAGGTCGGTTTGTGCCCTCAGAGGCCAGTTTAACCCGGCAGTTGCTGGGGTATTTCGCCACCCACCGTTTGCTGGGGGGGGGGGGGGCGTTAAACGCCCCCAGCCGATAGCTCGAGAACCAATAGGCGCAGCGAAACGCACGAGGCGGCAAACGAAAGAACGCGACAAGACGCTTCAGATGAGTACTTTAAAGTTGAATTTTGAGGTCACAGGTCAGGTCAAGGTCAGGTCAAACACCTGAAATCGGGCTTTCAGTAGCATGGACTTCAGGACTTCGCAATGGGCGCCTCTCGTCATAAACTCTGTCAAAACGGTGCACAATCCATCATATAAGGCCTACAAGAGTGTCAGCTCCATGCAGGGGTCAGTCAAGCATAGGTCAGGGTCAAGGTCAGGTCAACCGGGCAGGCACATTATCCCCGAAAATAAAAACTGATATTCGCAACCTGTGACACATGTTTTATGGGTAATTTGGGGCGTAGAACACGATGGTGACATTCATTTTATCATATGTGTACGTGTTTGGCTAAAAAAGTTCAATTTAAGAAATTCATGTATCATGGTCGTGAAGTAGTTATGAGAAATTGCCAAGATTCAGTTCAAGATTTTGGAAAATGCGGAACGATAATCAATAATCGAAGATAGCCATTTCATTTTTCATGGTATTGGCAGTCTAATGGCGTTTACGGCATGTCTATATGTCTGTTCTGTGATTTTATATGATTTTTTGAACACATGCCGTTTTTGGTCGAAAACTCAGAAAACATGACGTCACTAAAACCTCGATATCTCAAAAATTTTCCGACCGATTTTTTTGAAACTTTGTCACAATACACTTCAATCAATTCCCTACAGGTACCCAAAATTTGGCGCGCCTGCGGCGCGCCGTTTTTATGCTATGGCGCGACGAAAAAAGTGGGGGCGTTTAACACCCCCCCCCCAGCAACTCGCGGGTTAAGGCCCTCAGAGACCAGCCTGAAAATGGCAGTTTGAGGCCATCAGAGGCCGACTTAGGCTCTCAAAGGCTAATGCGGGTCCTTGAGGCAAGGATGGGACCCTCAGGGGTCAGTGTGGCACCCTAAAAGACAGGTTTGGGCTGGTGTTGGACCCCAGAGTCCAGAAAAGGCCAAGTTGAGCCCTCAGAGCCGATGCAGGTCCTTAACCCGGCAGTTGCTGGGGTATTTCGCCACCCACCGTTTGCTGGGGGGGGGGGGGACGTTAAACGCCCTCAGCCGATAACTCGAGAACCAATAGGCGCAGCGAAACGAACGAGGCGGCAAACGAAAGAACGCGACAAGACGCTTCAGATGAGTACTTTAAAGTTGAATTTTGAGGTCACAGGTCGGGTCAAGGTCACGTCAAACACCTGAAATCGGACTTTCAGTAGCATGGACTTCAGGACTTCACAATGGGCGCCTCCCGTCATAAACTCTGTCAAAACGGTGCACAATCCATCATATAAGGCCTACAAGAGTGTCAGCTCCATGTAGGGGTCAGTCAAGCATAGGTCAGGGTCAAGGTCAGGTCAACCGGCTAGACACATATCCCCGAAAATCAAAACTGATATTCGCAGCCTGTGACACATGTTTTATGGGTAATTTGGGGCGTAGAACACGATGGTGACATTCATTTTATCATATGTGTACGTGTTTGGGTCAAAAAGTTCAAATTAAGAAATGCATGTATCATGGTCGTGAGGTAGTCATGAGAAATTGCCAAGATTCAGTTCAAGATTTTGGAAAATGCGGAACGATAATCAATAATCGAAGATAGCCATTTGATTGTTCATGGTATTGGCAGTCTAATGGCGTTTACGGCATGTCTGTATGTCTATTCTGTGATTTTATATGATTTTTTGAACATATAACGTGTTTGGTCGAAAACCAAGAAATCATGACATCACTGAAACCTCGATATCTCAAAAATTTTCCGGCCGATTTTTTTTGAAATTTTGTCACAATAAACGTCAAACAATTCCCTAGAGGCACCCAAAATTTGGCGTGCCTGCGGCGCGCCGTTTTTTTTTTTTTTGCTATGGCCCAGCGAAAAAAGTAGGGGCGTTTAACGCCCCCCCCCAGCAACTCGGGGGGTAACCCTCGCCCGTATAGGGGGGAGTCGAACGGACCCCCCTCGATTTTTTGCGAATAACTCGCGACCTGTGACCTCTTTTCCGTGACCATGTTTGGCCGAAATCGCGATTCGGCGTATGTCGGCTCGCATTAGCCGCGCGTTTGCAAGAGCTTTTCGTGATTTCAAACGTTCAAACATGTGATTTGATGTTGCTCCCATACATAAGGGTGGGTGTCAACTGTCAAGGTCACCTGAAGGTCAGGTCACGTCATTGACCTTTGGTGACCTCGGGTGACCTCGGTTCACTTTTTCGAGTTTTTTCATGTTCTAGGCTAGTTTTTTAGCTGAATTCGAATTTAGCAACCATTTGAACATTTACGAAGTAGTTTTGGTGACTTCGTAACATGTTACGAAGCTGTCAGAGGCGGTTGACACGTAACACGAATACCCGTCTCAACCCCTACCGGTTGCCCTGACCTGACCTGACCCGACCTGGTCTAAATGCTTAAAACATCATCTCTGATCAAAACTAACACGATATTCGTGATCAGAACCCCGGAAAACCACATAGCAGCCACACTTTACGACTTTCTAACAGGTCCCGATTTTCCCGGTTTTCGGGTCATTGACCTGACCTGGAAGGTCACCCGATGACCTAGGACCTTAAAATTGGGTATCATCGGCTTCCTCTCGTAACGGGCAACACGCTCGTTTTTTCCGTGAAGCTCTAGCTTGATCAGGGGCCAAACGCGAGGGGGGGGGGTCGTGCCGCCGAAGGACGCAATGGCTTGTGCCGGCGAGGGTTAAAATTGGGTATCATCGGCTTCCTCTCGTCACGGGCAGCACGCTTGTTTTTTTTTTCGCGAAGCTCTAGCTCGATCAGGGGCGAAACGGCAAGGGAGGTCCAACGCCCCCCCCCCCCCCCCCTATACGAGTACCTACGTTCGCGGCTGGAAAAACACCAATACAGGGGATGGTTAAAGGCCGGCATCGGGTCTTCAGAATCCAGTGCGGGGCCCTCAGAGGCTAATATGGGCCTTTACAGGCCAGCACGGGGCCTCAGAGGTCAGTGTGGGACCCTCAAAGACCGGCATGGGCCAGCAGGGTAGCGCGCTACAAGGCCAAGGATGTATTACAAGTAGATTAAGGTCAATAAAAGCCGTATTTAGATCAAGAGGACGCGCCAAGAGTAAGCTGACCATGCCTCCTAAAAAGAGGCAGCGAGCATCACCTACCTATTCGATTTCTGGTTCAAGGAGCAATCATAGTAAGTTTAACTCTGCACTTTTGCAGTCTTCTTAAAATTTTAAATGTATGTAGACTAGAGATGTCAATCGGATACCAACTTTTTGGTATACCGATACCAAACTGATACCAACTTGGTATTTGGTATTTTGATCCTAATGTTGTTGGTATTTTGTTGGTATTACGAATCCGGCTAATGTATAAGAGGATACGAATTCGGTAAAAAGTTGGTATTTCCCTCATGTTCCCAAGTTGGTTTGGTTTCGGTATTTTTCATGGTTTTGGTTGGCATTTGGTTTGGTATCGGTTTCCTGATTTTCCGTTATTGATATCACTAATGTAAACAATAGGCATACCTATAAGGTGAAATACACACGAAATACCATATCACACACGACAAACGTTAAACTATAAATGGCACAGTTGGTTGACTGTGAAAGTGACATAGGCCTTAACCCGCCCCCCCCCCCAGTCGCAGGTGAAAATGGTTGCACCCCAAAACAAGTGACTGGATCTGCCCTTGGGCAGGGGAGCGGCGAAAAATTTTGCCCACCCAGTGAAAAATCCTTAGAGGAGGCCCTGGTTGTATTGTAAGTCAAATGTAAACATTGCACAACACACACCAGGCATAATTGTCGAGGAGGATACGTTTTCGTACCTAAGTTACTTTTATTCGTCAAAAATGAGTGAAGCTTTCGTTTATTGGATTCATAAAGGAATCTCAGAGGTAGTATCTAATGAGTGTTATACTGAATCAAGCAGCCTTAATTTTCCACTCAGAGCTGGAGAATTACCTATAGGCATTTGGCTGGACGACAGCTTTGGATGGGGCAAGTGATACCAAGATGCTTGGGATACCGCATGCCTCCGC